TAAATCAACGTGAATTAAGAAAATACTTTACTATTTTAAAGAATATATTCTCTTCGTTATATTTGAGACAAAGATTGTTTGGAATCAAATACATTTATTTGATACAAGAATATTTTTTGTTCAGTGTAAGGAACTGTAAATAAACAAAAAAATCATGAATGTATTTAAAATAAAAAAGGGAATATAGGTAGGTATAACTACAATGGGGGAAACTTGTCAAGTTATGTTATTTATTAATATTTAAATACTGATACAATGTTTTGTATACAATTTCAATTTTGATGTCCATTGTTTTGTAAATTAATTTCGTTAAAATAAATCAAATCAACTCCATTGAAATTTTCTATGTTATTATCGGAAAACCTTGTGTTAAGTGAATAACAAATTTTTCTTGTTCGTTTTATAAACCAAAAAATGTGGAGTAATATTTCATCGAGACTTTGAGTTGCCTTGACATGGATCGAAACTAATAAAATAACATTGAAAGGGAAACTGGTGTCGTCACAAGAATAATCCGTAGAATTGTTAAAAAACTTGAATTTAAATTACAAATGCTTGAATACAAAATTAGGATTTAATTAGACGATTAGTAAAAGTATTCTTGTATTATTAAAAAGGAACATTATCAATGGTCCAGGCGTAAAAACAAGCAGGTTTTATTCATTTTAAACGAAGCGAATTAACTATGCAAATTCGTATTCTACAAATTAGACGAATTAAAGCTCTTCGTCAGTTCTCGTTTCATTCTTATCACCTGCAATTAGTTGCTAGTGAGGATTATATCAACGTTTACCTCGACGCTTCTCGAATCGGGTCCACACGATTCAATTAAAATCAAATTTCGTGCCAGTTCTGGATCTAGGAGTTTTTTTTGAATTTTTGACTTTGAAAATAAATACCGTAAAAGTGGAATACACTCACAGGCAAAATAATCGATCCACACAAATTTTCGATGAATTTCAATCGCAAATAACTTTTTTATTTGATGTCGGATTTAAACGAATATTAAAGAATATTGTAGATGTTAATGGACAATCCCTCACATTTTAAAAAATTACTAAAAAATAGACGTACGTTTATAATATACAGGTTTAAACAAAAAGATATTTTTTACCATAAGTTTAAGACACTCTGTAGAGTGACAAAACCGTATATTGTTCTAAATTAAGTTTTATTTATCAAGTCACATCTATTCTTAACAGTTTTGTTTTTGGTTCACCTCGATATATTTATTTTTGTGGAAAATATGGATTTTTTAAAAAACATTGGAATTTCCAATATTTTTCTGTATGAAGAACTAAGGTTGCTATGGTCCATCCATATGCTATGGAGAATGACAGTGACAGTTTTGTTGAATCATCCCATACTTGGACATGTCAGCTATCAAATTGTTTTTTGCAAATTAATGTTTAAATTTTGAAGTGTCTTCTCACTTTAAAAAATGGATATGTCCCTGACTGATGTTGCCAGAGCCATTAATTTAATCCAGGTTGGACGGTCACAGTATTACGTAGCAAGTGTTTTAAACGTCACAAGAAGTAAAGTACAAAGGGCAACATCAGTCGGAGACATTTTTAGAAGTAAGAAGACGCCTCAAAATTAACACATTAATTTACAAAAAAAAATTGATAGCTTTTGAAAGCTGTATATGACATGTCCAAGTATGGGATGATTCAACAAAACTGTCACTGTCATCCTCCGTAGGCTATGGATGGACCATAGCAACCTTAGTTCTTCATACAGGAAAAATATTGGAAATTGCTATGTTTTTAAAAAAAAGTCCATATTTTCCACAAAAATAAATATATCAAGGTGAACCAAAAACAAAACTGTTAAAAATAGATGTGACTTAATAATTAAAACTTAATTTAGAACAATATACGGTTTTGCCACTCTACATAGTGTCTTAAACTTATGGTAAAAAACATATTTTTGTTTAAACCCGTATATTTTAAACGTACGTGTATTTTTTAGTAATTTTTAAAATGTGAGTGATTCTCCATTAATGTATCTACAATATTCCTTAATATTTGTTTAAATCCGAAATCAAATAAAAAAGAGTGTAAATTGGTCAAAAACAACAAAAAATTGAAATATGTACATTGAAATTACGTAAAGTCTATCGTGTTTAGCTCGAAATCAGCAGAGAAAATGCAAACTTACAGGTCACTGTAGAAGAAATTCATATACATAACCTATAATATAAAAAATGTCAAACTTCAAACCTGAAAAAATGTCGAAACTCGATCATTTTAATGTAAGTACAGAACTATTAAATGCTTGAAAAAAGTATATACAACTGCCTCGCTTAGATCTGCAAAGTCTATTGTCTATCTGGAATCGCAATTTTGTTACCAAAATCTATGCTGAATCCGGCCCTGCTGTGCGTCGCAACCGTTCATAAAACAGGCCCTATTCATTTTTAAAATTCAATTAGCTTATAATATCTGCATTTAAATCAGATCCAATGAATTTTATGTAACCTAATTACGCAGGTACGTATCCCATAACGAAAATTAGGTTTGTATTGAATATAATCCAATTTTTAATGTAACTCAGTTACAAATTTATGTCCGACGAATATGCGTTTTAATTAACAGTCACGCCCGTCATTTATTCATTACCTATCATATAAAAAGTAATATAATTTTTGGCCACTAGGCATAGTTAACGTTTTATGTTTAATACGTTGACACGGCTGACATTTAAAAACGGTTGCTATGGACACTACCTTGGCACTATGGAGACGGTAAAATTTAACTTTAGTGTAGAAAGAAAAATAAATAGGTACCTAGGTATTTTGATTATTTGTGGTTGAAAATGTCCTGTTTATAATAAATTAATATTAATAGGTATATAATAATACCTACTTACTTTCAAATTAATGGTTTCTTAAATATTTTGTACCTATACATCATGTAGTAATTTTTTAATACAAACAAGATGCTTGAGTGTGTTTTTTTTCAGGAATTAAAAATGTAAAGGGAGTGTATTAAACCCTAAATTCCTCTTCATACAAGGGGTTAAAAAACAGTCTAGACACAATTAATTTATCATTTAATAATTAAAATTTATGCAAATCTTTTTTTTTGCGGTTTACGTACATTTAAATGCATAAAATGTTTGCCCTCTTCATTTTATTTACTTAAGAAAATTGTTTTGGTAATTTATGAATAAATTTTTAAATCCATAGGAGAACTATCCATCAAAAAGTAAACCCCTTCCTTAAAATTGACATGAACAATCCTAAACGTAAACTTTATTATAATACCTACTTACCTAAAAGATTGATGGGTTTAAAAAAGAACGACAAATATTTGCCACCTTTTTAACTTTATTAATTAAAAATTTGGCTCCATAACCTTAAACCTTAAACCATTCTTTACTCAATGCTTAAACTGTAATTGTACGCTTCTTATAGTATAATATAAATACTATAGGTACGGTACCTATACTAGATACTAAATACTAAAAATGTAACTTACAATAATTATTCTTTGCTTCTCCTATTTTGCTGAAATTAGCTATACCATAATAAAAATCTTATCAACAGTGTAAAACACTATTTTGCCTTTTCCTTTTGCCTTGTCATTAAAAAATCGTAAATACACCATCACTCGCGTGCAAAAACAACGAAAAATACGAACTAAAACATCAAATTTACGATACGAAAAACGTTAAAAATTTAATTAATTGTTGATGCTGTCAAATTGAAACAAAACAAGATCACCGCGTCATGCGCATTGCGTTATCATGCGCATCATACTGTCAAATCATGGCAAATACTATTTACAAAGATTGATTGTAAATTTACGTTGACATTGAAATTGTGTTCTTTAATTGGGGGGGGGGGGAGTTTAAAGTGTTAAGTCGTGTAAGAAATAGCCGTGAATAGTTTTCACCTGTTGCCGTTTTTCAAAAACCAAATATTTAACTAACTGCAGTTATTTAAAATAACATCAAAAACTTGATTTCATTTTTAAAAGTTAAGTTCATTGAGGTCTTTTTAGACGTGAAAAAGGGTAGAGTTTAATTTATGAAATATTTAATATCATCATTCCTGCAGCTTTCTTAAGCAATACCCAAGCAAAGGTCAATTCGGGGCTTCTGCCTTTAGAATACACGGGCAAAATTAAGGAATCCCTTCAAGTGCCACATTCAGCATTGCCACACTTGGATCAATTTGGAATGATAGATGTAAGAGGATTATTTTATCGATTCTCGCTTTCCGTTGGGAAATTAATTGAAAATAAATTGTCAATACATCATGAGCCATATTTTCAATGAGCAGATTAAAACGCTTTGAACCGCCGAAATTAAACGAAAATACACTTTCGTGATCATCACCGTTTTAGAATATTTATTTGTGATAATGTAATTTGTTTTATTGACATATTGCAATAAGGATGTTACGATGACCTTAAAGAGAGCGCGTGACGTCACGATGTTATAACAGACGTGTCAAGAATTACGAATAATCTGTTTATGGCACGTTGGAATAAATTACGTATTTTGAAAACATTGTAATATTTGTTTTAAATTAAAAAAATGTTAAATATTTGCAGTATTTATAAAATCACAAAACTTTCGGATGAACTTTGGTAGCGTTTATAGAGATTTTAAAAGTAAACCAAAGTGCAGCATTTTCATAAACATTTAATCTTTGCGCCGGAAATTTTCATCTAAATTTTTTATTTATCTTTAGCGAATGTGAAAACAAAGTTTTTAAAGCTTTACTTAAAATCATTAAATTTTCACACTCACGTGAGATTTCCATTATACATTTTTCCTCCATAATTATGCAGAGTTTTAAGTTTAAGGATTAAAAAAAAAGGATGATTGTTGATGGATGTTATTATAAATAAAATACAGACTTTATGATGAGTTTTTAATAAAAATCATTTAAACATTTAAAAAAATAACATTTTATTTACAATTTATTTATATAGGTACACTTTGTACATACTTTTGAAACTAATTATTAATAAATAAATAAAATGTTCTTCACAAATAAATAAATTAACACTAATTTGTTTAAATATCTTATAATAATTTAGACATTCTACAAATTTATCATGTTAAGTATTGTCGATATAACCTTCTCTCCCTTATTATGATGCATTAAGTTTAATAAGGGGTCCTTTATTTTTTCTTCCAACAAGTCAAATAATTCTATGCGCATCATTTTCATCATTTCAGCAATCTAAAAAAATACACTGTCTTACAAGGATTTTGTAACAAAACTGGGATAATTTTTTCGTGTTTAGGTAGAAAAAATAACGAATTATTATTATGTCTAGGCATAATAATAATTATTTAAAATTACCTATCTCTAGGTATAATAATAATTATTTTTTATTATACATTTTAATTTGATCCGCATTTTTTGTAACATTAAATATTTTACCTGACGAATATTTTTAAACATTTTACATATTATTTTGTTAGTTGAATAATTATTTGCGTAATTTAAATTTTATTTCTTATGAGGTTCTTAAATTTTTTACTTTGAAATTTATATTGGAATTATTGTGATATTAAAAACATTGTTGAACAAGATTTATGTAATATTAGCGCTTTGGGAATGCGGCAGGAAGTGGCAACTGCAGTAGGCAAATGCATAATAGGTATTTATAGGTCATTTATCTACGTCAACTTTGGCGCCAATATGCGAAGAGATTCGGGTTTTGTTCTTCTATCTAAATAATTATAAAAAAAATTATGTAGATCGATTTTAATAATTTAAAAAACTAGAAGGTGGATGTTTTGTGATATACTTCTTCTTTGAAATTTTTATTATATGGTAATAATTTTAATTAAAAATAAAAATTCAGTGCAATAATTTTATGTGTACACATACAATTAATAGTATAATGTTTTATTAGAGTTAAAATTATGCGTACACATAAAATTAATTATGGCACGCCGTTTTACTTTTTAATTCTATAAGAAATATTAATTATTATAACTTAAGTAAAATATTAATGTGGCACAAAAATATTGCACACAGAAAAATTACATTAAATAAATAACACTAGTTTACAAAATCAAAAAAAAAATCTGCCCACCAAATCCCATTCGGCCATTCCACGCGTAACGGATGGGACAGTTGCAAGTTTTTATTTACAAAATAACATTGTTCTATTATATTACTAATGTCAAATTTTTATAAATAGTTCTAAACAAAAGCTGTTTAACAAGGTTTTTATTTGGCAAAATTAGGTATCGTGGTTGACTGTTTAATTTCTTAAAAATTCAAAAACCTACTATAATTTTTAAAGAATTAAACAGACAACCACGATACCTAATTTTTCCAAATAAAAACCTTGTTAAACAACTTTTGTTTAAAACTATTTATAAAAATTTGACATTAGTAATATAATAGAACAATATTATTTTGTGAATAAAAACTTGTGGAATGGCTGCATTATAATTTTTCCATTTTTTTTATAGAAAAGTTTTTGAAATATGAATTTTCATTTTATTTTGTAATATTTTTATTCTTTAATGAAAACCTAAGTAAAGTGCACGATTGAAATTTTTTCAGTTTTTTTCGTACTTTTCTCACCGAAAACATTATTCAAAATTTAAATTTGACATGACTCCGCAAACGTGAATTCTTTTGTTTCTTGTGTTGGCATAGTGGCAGTTTACTGCTATTTTTTGATATTTCAACAAGGTATTTTTATCATGGTTTTATTTAGTGTATAAAAAGTGTAAAATGAGTAAAAGAAGTAGAGAGTTCGAGTGCGTAAATAACCCGGACAATCTGGGCGACGTAAGTGATGAGCACGGAGAACGTTTTCACCAGCAAATGAAGGTAAACATGTTTAAAAAAATAATATCTTCCTTTACACTGCCCTACTATGGGGAAAGGCAGTAACTGCAAAAAAATGCAAAATGCGTTTTCTTGTGCTATGGTAAAGCTATGGACATTTTGTAACCGAATTCAACACAGAAATGCAGTCAAATATCTCATAAGTTAAAAAAATCCATTAAATACCTACTGCTCTTTATAAAAATGTAGTTTATGCTAATTTTCCTTAAATTTCTTGTGTAGCAGTTACTGCCTTTCTCCATAGTAGGGCAGTATAATTCTAATGAATGTATTATTAAACAGTGAGGGACACCTTGTATAACTAATAATTACCTAATAATTCTAAAATTTAATTGTCTATATTTTAAAATGTTATGTAGTATTTTGTTTTGTATATTTTCATTGAAAATATTAACAGCAAAAAAATCGGTAGAAAATAACAAAACAAAATCAAAGTTTAAAGATATGTGGTGCCCTCTGTAATCCAAACTACGAAACAGGGAAAGTAATCCACCTTAATGCAATCAATAGTGATTCCCAGGAATTTAATAAATTAAAACGATTTACACGAAGTAAATTGAAAGAAAACAAACCGTGAGACCTCTTCTTTCTTAATAAATAAAATAAAGCAAACAAGTTTTAACGAAATTAAAACCCCCGATTCAAATTGAAAATTCCGGGTGAATCGAATCGAATTTCCTACCTTGTGTTCCTCCACTTGCAACACGATCCAGCCGTCCTCCAAGCTGATGAACGTAACCTCGTTTTGAACGGAAATGTTTAAATCGAAACCGGCGAAAAGCACCAGCGGGATGATGGGCACCATGGTACAGTCCCTGAAGTAAACCTTGCTCGTCTTCACTTTTTCTTGGTACACCAGGAATAAGCTCGCGTAACTGGTCACGGTGTAATTCACAGAACTTGGATGCATGAAAACCTATTAAAAAAAAGGTGTCATCTCATCATCAAGGTCATCTCCATTACCTTAAATCTAAGTTGCGCCCTTGGATTTAAGATATGAAAGACAGCCCTTGTGGAAATTTTTCTCTGAATAAGTTTTAATAAGTAAAAATAAGAGTTTTTAAAGTCTTACTTTCTCCTAAAAAGTCAGAATAAGACTTATTAAGTCGGAAAAAGTCTAAATAAGTAAGTCATACTAATAGCAAGATTTGGGAGTCTTCTAGAAGAGTTAATAAGACTTTATAAGACTTTTAGCAGAGAAATGGTAGGAACCTAACTATAGCGATTAAAATAAATATCCGGAATTATTCAGAGAGGTTATATTTGATTATTATAAAATAAAACACAAAGAAAAGTATTTATTAACATTTTGCCGGGTGGTAATAAGCCAAGTTTATTGCATAATTAGGTGTAATAATTATAACAATTATAATTTTTTACATACGATGCGCTGTACTGTACTGTTTTATTTTAATAGTTTCTTTTTATACGCAAATATTCATCTAACCATTGTTCCAAACACTTTTTAGACACAATTTCGATTTTCTCAGCTGACCAATTAGAGCACAGCTGATCTGTCATGTGATGGCATCTTCCCGCGTTTTCAAGATAGCTCTCCTGTCACTAATTACCAAGTGTTGCCGTTTGCGGGTATTTTACTCGGAAATCGGGTATTTTCGTCATGTTTAAGCGGGTAAAATCGGATATTTTGTAAATTTCGATCAAAATACTAACTGAAGATATTTTCAGCAAATAATATTGTATGTTTACTAAAAATGCATAATTATTTTATTCTATATAGGATATCCTGTTACATTTCTATTTACTTATATAAAAATTTTAAATTAATTTAATTATTTCTTTTTAAACAGGGTGAATGCCCTAGTAAATTTAAAATATAACTAGTGTATTTAGTACCTATTTTATAATTTTTGGTCGGGAACTTTTATGACATTCATCCGGCAACACTGTATAAAACACATAAACCAATGAAAGCAGCTCGAAAATCAACAATATTTGTTTTATGAGTTTTATAATCTGTGTATGATTTCGACTGTCGACCATATCATGCCTATGAGTTGCGAAGAATTGTTATAGTTATTATACCTTATATGTCCTTAATCAACACAAGGTACACAAACCAAACGTATCTCCCAACTGTTTTATTCTGTTCAATTAAAATAATGTTTGTTTACTTATATTGTAAACATTGCTTCCGTGTTTTTATAAGCCTTATAACAAAACAAAAACAGTGTTTATAAATCCTTTTCATTGTGCTTTCTTTTGCAATAACCAAATATAACATCTCTGAATAATTCCGGATATTTATTTTAATCGCTATAGGTACCTACCATTTCTCTGCTAAAAGTCTTATTAAGTCTTAAAAAGTATTATTAACTCTTCCAGAAGTCTCCCAAATCTTGCTATTAGTCTGACTTACTTTATAAACTCTTATTAAAACTTTCTCAGAGAAAAATTTCCACAAGGGAGATTTTGATGTATTTACATTTTCTTGCTTAGTAAGAAACTTCAAGTCCTTGGGATTGTGTTCCTTGGGGACAGCACCTGCAGAGCTCATTATAAAACTCTTCGAGGGAGTTAGAACCTTGATGATGTTGGGGTACAGAGCCGCACAAATAATCGAGGAAAGCAATCTAAAATTCTCCCCATTTTTGTTCAACTAAAAAATAAACCAAAATTAACACCCCAAAAACATTTTCTTCTTCATATATTTACCTCAGATCCAGTCAGTTCCAGTACGTTGTCTTGACCGGGTTTCTTTCTACCGCCCAAATCGATCGGCACGAACCCGATATCGACTAGTAGCTCCAAAAACTGATGTTTTATATCGGCGATGGTTACCATTGTTTTTTGTGATAGGAAATTTTCGCCAGCGAAATTTCTACCGGCAAACGGGCTCTTTTTGTACACGGTCAACCATTTCTGAAAGGTTGAGAAATGTGAGTGGGAAATTAGGAAGAGTGGGTACGTTTTTGGGGTAAAACAATTATAATGTATACATTGTAGGCAAATATTAGATATACTCCCCAACACCTTTAGAAGCGAAGTATAAATAAATCTAATACCTCGCTTCTGAAAAGCAATTTACAAAAGCTTATGGAGACAGTAAAAAAACTTGAAAAATTTTAAACAACTTGTGCTTGAAGAACAAAAGACAGACAAATAAATTAATTCAGATAAGAAACAATGAGGGAGCAGAAATTTCCAATGAAAACGAATTTAATAAATATTTTTCAACAGTAGCAATAAACCAACACAAATAAAAGCAACTAGTATATTTCCGGAAGAAGAGCAACGCAAAACAATATTCCTAAGGCCAACTGTAAATGAAGTTTGTAACATTACCTATATATAAATTAAAAAATAACTGTGCTCCAGGTTGTGACAAAATAACAAAAAATGACATTGTTAACGTGATTGACGTGATTGGAGAAAAAATTACAAACTTAATAAATAATGTTCTAAAAACTGGAAAATTTCCTGACGAATTAAAATAAAAACCTCTAAAATAATCCCAATCCTCAAAAAAGGAAGGCAAGATGAAATACAAAATTATAGCCCCATATCCATATTCTCGAAAATATTGTAAAAAGTTATTAAAAAAAGATTAATTGATTTTATAAGTGGTACATGTGGTTTTGACGTATACCAATATGGATTCCAAACTCAAAGTAGTACAATGAGCACTACAATAGATATGCTAGAGACCATTACATCAGAATTAGACAAGAATAAATATGTGATTGTAGTGTTTATAGCCTTTGATACAGTCAATATACAATTACTCTTAAAAAAACTTCTAGGAATCCGTGGGGTGGGTCAAGTACCCCAGGGATCGGTGCTAGGTCCAATTGCATAATTAATATATGTGCACAACTTAAAATACTCTGGCATTAACGGAAGATACTATATGTTTGCGGATGACACAGCATTGGTATATAGCGGAACAGACTAAAAAGAAATTACCTATAATGAAGACCTAAAAACCTATTGGAACTGGTTAAATAGTAATAAACTTAGTCTCAGTACGCAAAAAACTGAATTTATGGTGATAAAACAAAAAAAATAAACCTGCTATCGACCTGGACATTAAAATCAATAGCATATCAATAAAACAGACACACACTATTAAATACTTATAAGCAGAGCTGGGAGTATCTTGACAGAAAAGATACTTGAAAGTAACTTAGATACTTAAAGTATCTAAGATACTTTATCTTAGATACTTTTTATATTATACTTGCATCCAAAAAGGTATCTAAGTTACTCGGTAAAGTAACTAAGATACATTCAAGTAACTTGGATAATTTAAAGTAACTAAAATACTTTTCAAAGTAATAAGATACTTTTTAAAGTAATTTAGATACTTTCTTAGAGAAAATTTGGGGAATTCCAGAATGATTCAAAGTAATTATCTAACCTACAACTTGTTGAATTTTCATAATTTTATAGTTTTTATTCATACATAAAAGTAACTTAGTTACTCAAAAGTATCTTAGTTACTTAAAAGAATCTTAGTTACTCAAAAGTATCTTAGATACTTTCGGATAGTATCTTAGATACTTTTTAAAGTATCTTGTAACTAAAGATACTTTTAACTCAAAGTATCTAGTTACCAGAGGTAACTAAGTTATTTTGTTTAAAGTATCTTAGAAAAATAACTAGGTACTTTTCAGAAGAAACTTTCCCAGCTCTGCTTATAAGTGATGAAAATCTTAGTTGGAATGACCATGTTAAAAGAATAATAGACAAAATAATTCCCATGATAGGTGCTATTAGAAGATGCTCAAGATACTTAAATAAAAATGTAAAAGACTTGTTACACAACAGTTTTATCATGCCATACTTAAGATATTCCATGCTGGGGAAATGCTGCTGAATATTCATTAAATAAACTACAAAGAGTACAAAACAAGGCTGTGAAAACAATTTATGGTCTTAGTAAATATACGTCTACGGAGGTCTATAAAAAACAAAAAGAACATCAAAACAAACGTCAAAGTCCATGAACATAATACAAGGAAAAATGATGACTTCAGAAATGAAAAAAGAAGAACAAAAAAAAACGCAAGACTCTCCAATATACAGAAGTATACAAACATATAACATGTTACCTGAAGAAATTACAAAAACCCAAAAAATGTGATAATGTGTAAAAAACTAAAAAAATATTTAAGTATGTGATATTCCTAGTACCGACACATTTTGTATATAAAAATATATGTACCTGTGAATGCTGTAAAAGCCTCAAAATTTGTTGGGGAATATTTATAAAATTTGTTTAACATATAACCAAAGTAGTCCGTTACCTTGTAGGCATTCCACATGGTGATGTGATCGCTGCAGCCCACGGCGAACTTCTTCTTCTTCGCGTCAGCTTCGTCCCTTTTACCGAACGGCGACACGAACGGGCTCTTGAAGCTCAAGCAGGCTGCGATCGTCAGAGCCGAGTCTATGCAGCCGAAAATCGAGCCGTAGAGCATCAACTTTCCCACTCTCACGTCTACGGGCAAGGCGGCCAAATGGTGGCCCAGAGCTGTCAAATCGAAGGATTTGTTTAGAGCCCCGACGTCCTGCAAACGCTTCATCGCCGTGGATATGTTTTCTAATACTGGAGGTTCGATGAAAGAGCCCAGAACTGCGCTGGCATCTCTGTCCTCAAAGTTCGGTAAAATCTTGATGTTCAATATTAATTGTTCCAAAGGTATCCGGTGTATTTCGGGTACAGGCTGAGGTAGCATGTGATGATGAAACCTGTGACTTGTGTAGAGATGTACGCAGACCCCTGGCATAACGCGACCGGCTCTACCTTTTCTTTGTAGAGCGTTGGCTCTCGTCACCCACACGGTTTCCAAGCTCTCCATATTTTTGTTGGGGTCGAAATGTTTTTCCTTCATTTTCCCGGAATCTATTACGAAAACACAGTCGTCTATGGTGACTGAAGTTTCCGCTAAATTTGTCGATATCACGATTTTTCTTTGATTGTTTTTCGGTTTTCTGAAAATGGCAGATTGTTCTTCGCTGGTCAAGGAAGAGTGCAAGGGTAACAAAACGAACTTCCCAGCCTTAAAACCAAACACCGGATGCGTTTCCAATTGCTCGTGAAGACTCGTTATTTCAGCTATACCAGGCAGAAATATTAAAATTGAACCGGTTCTGGGGTAATCATGATCCCCGGACACGATCCACAGTAAAACTGATTCTATAAGTTCGTTGTTAATTTTTTCTACGTCCATTAGGAACAGGTTTTTACACGTTTTTGTGCTGAAATCTAAAACATAACTGTGAAATCAGATTGTGGAAAAATTAGATATTTATTACTTTGGTATCTGGCCATAGTTTGAGCTATGCTCAAGCTCTCATCCCTAATATTATCCTTGGGCATAGCATTCGCAAAATTGATCTCATTCGAGGCCATCAGAGCGTCAATGTAATCCTGATCCTTCCTGATTTTCCTGGAATACTGCGAACCGTCTTCGAGCACATAATCGGTGGCTTCCAGGATATCTTCCAGGAAATACTGCTCGACCGGGAACGTTCTTCCGGGAATGTCTATTACGGGAATGTCGCCGAAATAGTTCGAGAACAAGTCGGCGTTCAAAGTGGCGCTCATGAGGATCACTTTGAGGTCGGGACGGACTTGGAGAAGCTCCTTTAGTATGAGTAAAAGAAAATCGCTAAAAGTGAATAGAATTTGAGGCGGGCAGTGTTTTTTGTTTTATAGGAATATTTTTTTAATGTTAGTCGCTTAATTTTGTTTTTGACATTTAAAATGTTCTAAAATATGTTTTGACGTTCTAAAATGTGTTTTTAACATTCTACTTTTTGACATAATTTTTGTAAAAGTAAGTTATATTAAATTCATTAAAAATGTGCCTTTTTCTTTCCAAAAAATTCCTAGAACCCGTCGATTTTGACATGTATATCTTTTGGGATGATGGTTTTGGGTAATATTAAATTTAAAAGTTCGTGATTAAAAAAAATGTATTTCCAAATAAATATTTTTTATCTTTAGAGAAGTGTTTCGTTATATTTGGAGAACGCTTATGAGCAGTGTTGCCAGATGAAAATCAAAAATTTCACCAGAGGTCGCATCGAAAAGTTGTCATATTTCACAATTTTTTTTAAATTAGAGTATACAGTGTATACTATACACTTAGATTTCTTATTTTTTTTTAAGTGAAATCTGACAAAATAAATAATTTAGTTTAAACTTAGTTTTTTGTTATGTTTTTAAAAACTTGACTAATTGATCTTAAGTTTAATTTTTGCAAAAATAAAAGGTTAATAATGCTATGACTTAATGCATATTTGGTACTAATACAAGCAGATCAATTATATTCAAACTTGATTTAATAAAAATATTATCCATATATAGATAACACAATTTACACAACAACCTTATTCTATCAGAGCTGTCATCAAACTGTGCCTTCACACCAAAATGCCTTGCCTTCCTTCCTTGCTATTGTAAATGTGCAATATTTATTTATCTATTTTACGTTCATAATGACTTCATTGTAACACCGCTACGGTGCTGTAATGAGGTACTTTACCCCACCCAAAATTTTGATTTTATAGGTTGGCTATACTTTAAACAGCATAATATTTTGCATATTGGTTATAATATTTTTATGATTTTTCTAGTACTTACGAGACCCTTCTGGCAATAAATTTTGTTTAACACCAAAGAAAATCCTATTTTTCTTCTTTAACATTAACAGCCGCTTATTGTAAAGAAGTAAATTAAGGCGAATCGATTTTGACATTAACCCTTCAAACCAATGACTGTGATACCAACTATCTAAAGTAAAATTCGACCAAATTAAGTATAGAATTTTTGCAAAATAGATAAAATAGCATAAAGAACTGTCATAAGACATTTTGTCGCACTCGTCCATTACAAAACCCGCTCCTTCGTCTCTCGTTTTATAAATTGTCCTCATGCGACAAAATTACGTCTTATGACATTAGTTCTTTAATATACTATTTTAGTATTGAATTAACTTTATGGGAAGATAAAAACATTTTTATCTAAACTTTTGTTTTGAGGGATGAAAATTAATTTGCGATTCACGAATTTTGAAAATACCCCAATAGAATTTACCAGACGATTTAAAATTCACCTTAAATAGGGTATTTGACCAAATTACCAGAATGAAATTAAATCACCAGATCTGGAGAAATTTCACCATACCTGGCAACATTGCTTATGATACAGATAATTTACTGAACGGTCAACTAAAAATTTTTATACGAAATCGGCAGTAAAGTAGTCAAGAATCGGCAGTAAAGTAAAAGAAATCGGCAGTAAAGTTCTACAATACGAGTATTGTATGCAACCAATTATAATATAATAAGTTAATTTTAATAAAAATAATAAGTTAATTTTATTAATTAGATTAAAAAATCGCTGCGGCGGGCAAATATGTCATAACCGTCGAAACAGTATAAGTAGACACTTCCTAAATTCAAATGACATTTGATTTGATCATCAATATTATTAAATGTGATTTCGGATAAAATTTAATATGCACCTCGGTATTAAAGTCCTTTCCTTTACTGCCTTGATACATAAATAACTATTACATCTTGTAGTGAATATTTGGTTTGAATTATATGGTAATAAAGAAATATAAAATAAAAAACTTCTATATGTCGACACTATTTGCATAATAACAAAAAACAATAATAAACTGAAAAAGTTTGACCTTAAAATAAAATATGTAATTAAGGAAGTTTCAGAACATTTTTTCTATAAACCCTTTTTAATTTTTTAAAAATATTATTAAAAAGTCTTTTAATAAAAACTATAAAACATTATTAAAAACTATAAATTCTCCACTTTTAATAATTAATATCTCCAAAACTATCAGCCCAAAAGGAATAAATGTACTTATTGCATATCACAATTTCATAATATATTCAAATCTCCAAAACAATTTAAAAAAATTTCGGAAAATATGCGTAATTAAAAAACAAAATCGACCTGTATTTTTTTTTTTTTTTGAGAAAAAGAAGCCGAATTTTTCATTGAAATTGTTCCATACTTTTTCGGTGTACTAGGTACTCTAAAATATATTTTTAACATTCCAAAATTTTGTCATATGTTTGATACTCTATGTACAATTTTAGTTTCTTGCGCAAATAGTTTAATTAATAGTAGTAATTTTTATTCTAATTGTGAAAAAAATTACGAAGAAACTGTTCTAGAGCTGAAAGAAAAAACAATATTTTTCTCCGGCAAACTTATATTCTCACCTTTCCTCGCTCCTTTCGTGCACTTCGTCCACGATTATGTGGGTCACGTTTTGCAACGTAGGCTCGCCTTCCAACCTCCTGAGCAAAATACCTGTCGTGCAAAAACTCAACCTGGTGCTCATGGACATTTTGCTCTCCAACCTGATCTGGTAGCCCACCGTGTTTCCTATTTTTTCGATACGTTCATCGGCAACCCTTTCGGCCACGCCGATGGCCGAAATTCTTCTAGGCTGCGTGCACACGATTTCAATGTGCTTGTTGTTCTCGTTGTCGTAATTTTGCATCCACTCGTCCAAAATAAACTGCGGGATTTGGGTGCTTTTACCGCACCCGGTCTCTCCGCTGACCACTACCACTTGAAACTTTTGAATTGTGTTGAGGATTTCCTTCTTCAGACTCCACGCCGGTAAACTTTTACGATTTTGCATCATCCGTTCGTATTTCGGGTCTTTCGTTTTTTGCGCGAAACTTTTGACGATTTTTGCGTCTTCCATCAAGATTTCTTCGATTGTCAACTGTTTTTTCTGGCTTCGGTTCGTTCGGCCTTAAAAAAAGTTGCCGCTGCTATAGTATACGCTAAAGAAGCATTTTGTACAACGAGAGCGCCATCTCGTGGTCTTCGATAGCATTGTGTGAATTCAAGAATAATTCTTGAATGCTATCGAACAATTATTGTCAACCATACATTTAAAGCATACTAACTAAACATAATTTTTAAATAAATAAGTAGTTTTTTTACAAAAGAGAGGAAGGCAAAAGTCTTACTCGACAAATTTTGTTCAATTGCGCAGCTAAATCGCGCAGGTTATTTGTGTTTTGCGTTGCAAGTAAAAACTAAAAAACGTTGGAAACTCAACGCTTATATGCTTATTATTGTGTTTTGAATTGTAAATAAAATTCAAGAACTAAATCGTTGCTAAAATAACTCAAAAAACATCAACTTAACAAGCTTGTATAAAGTTCTTTTTTTTTATCTGGACTGCGGCAACGTTGCAAATTTAGGGTTTTGGTTGGCAAATACAGTTGTCAAGTTGGTCGCATTGATTAAAACAAACTAAGCTAGTTATAAATCTAATTGTGGTTATGTATAAATTATTGTAGGTTACATTGTGCTGTTGTCAAGTTGAGTTGTAATTCGTAGTTGAAAATGCAATTAATTTGTCTTTGGTGATGCGTGGATGAGTAAAATCATATAAAAAAAAGTAGTTAAATATAGGTTGCTTTACGGCCCAGAAGAGAAAGTATTCCTAGCGGATAATAATCTTCGCTTTGAAAAGAATTTATATAAAAGAAATTAAAATTTTTTGTGAACGTATATGTTGTCCAATGGTGAATAATGTGAAAATAATGTGTGATGTAATATTTATAAAACCAAATTCGTTACTTTTTTACTCCAAAAATGTCCATAAGGCGATGTACTTTTTCTTCCATTGTGGCATTTGGCATAATTTCATCAAAATGAAGTTTTGCCCTCAAAAGGGGTTTTACATTCGAATTCGTTGCTATTATTTTTGGCATAATTATCTTTTTATTTATAATTGACAAGTATATTATCAATAATAAATATTATTGTCAATTTGACAGTGTCAAAGTATTTAATTAAATTCTTTAGCAGAAATACCATTTTTAAATACTAAAAATACTAAGTCAAACTGGCATAAGCCACCAACCTAACAAAAAAAAATGAACTGTATGACATACATTGTATTATTTCATTTAATGTAAAATTTATCCGAAGGGACCGATTTTTAGTCATCAAAAAGTATTTTGACCCAAATATGTTCTTTTCGCATTAAATCTGATGAATTTTGAAAGAAAAAAATCCAAATAATAATGTGCAACAAAAAAACTAGAAGAAACGCGTAATTTTTAAATTAATTAGTCCTCAAAATCTGTAAGTACTCAAGTGAATTATAACCTTAAAATTGAGTATATTTATATTTGAGTCCTCTAAAAAACGCCGACAACTGCATTTTAAACGACAAAATATACCGGTTCTTGGTGTTTTACTGTTGAGTGAAGACTTTCTTAATCAACGCTTTTAATAATACTTAATGCTGTTTGAATTTAGACGACTTAGGTATTTGTTTTATGATTTTTACTGAATTTAAATGTTTTCTCTAGTTTTGTCACGATGATGACGGCCACATGGTGGCGCCACTGGCGATGCTTCTTTAGCGTACAGTCTAATAAACTATTAATGCCTGTACTTACCCTTTTTGTAATGAGAAGGCCTGATAATCTTATTCTCCTGCGCAGTGGTGGGAAACAATTTCTGATTTGGCAGTAAAAATTTCACCTCCGAGTTCAAATGCTCCTTAATCTCTTCCTCATTTTGCAGCAACTCTGTTACAGTGTACACGCACGGAATGCCGTCTTGAGATAATAATTTAGCTTCCTCGTACAACCTTCTGCTTATGTGTAAATTGACTAAAGGGGGTAACACAGCGTTTGTTTTGATGAATATCATTGGGGGTTCGTAGGGGTATTTGGTGTTGGGAGGGAATCTTATTTCTAGGTCGAATTGAAACTCTGTTAGATGGGAGTTTGGGTTTTGTTCAACTTTTTCTACCTCGTGTGAAAACCTACATTTGTAACCAAACTTACAGTTACCTCTAACAAAGTTTTTACACATTTCTTTTTTCTTAACGTTTACAGGCTTTTTTACTTCCTTTTTATGAAACATTTTTATCAAATAGTCCAATTTTAGTGTTAGAACCCACACATTATCAACTTTTTGACTGAATTGTTTTTCGTATATTGACTCTAACGAGCTTTTCTCATCTATTCTTTGCTCTAATAACTCTGCCTCTGACATATTATGATCTGTAATCTCAAATGGGGTGGTATTCATGTATTTATTGTACAAAAGGTATAAAGCATCTTCCACATTCCCATTACAGTATCCAAAAGCTTCAAGGCAATGGGGTGTATGAAATCCATAACTAAAAATTAATATTCAAAATCTTTACACCAAAGTAAATTCTATAAAGGTCTTAAGGAACACAAATAACATTTTCAGAAAACAAGAATTGTCAAGCATCTTAGTAAAAGTTTTTATTATGTTCAATATCAATTAATTTAACAAACAAAAATGTAATTACAAATAAAGGTAAACTTACCTTTGTAATCTTAACAGGGCAAATTCTCTAAGCCGATCATCTTCTTCAGTGGGTTTATCCTTGTTTTGTGAATAATCTACAACCCCCTTGACGACTAAACTGCCCCTTCCAATCCAAAATTTCTTGCCAAAATTAAGTTTACTTTCCTCGTAGGCTGAAGCCTCAGACAATTTAAAATCCTACAATACAAATATTGATAAAATTAAATTCATTTACTGTAGTTATAACTAATTACAGGTCCATGAATGTAGGTTAGGGTATCCAAAATGTTTTCCTGCACATTTTCTGTTAGCTTGACAAACTGCAATTCCTCCTTTACATGGGGTCGTACAACTTTAGGCTTTTCTTGGCTAAAAACGACGAAAAAATTCAAAAAACTAAAAAATTTGAGGTTAGATTTTATTAACCTAATTTTAACATTGGGGATTTCATGCAAAAAGAAGTCGTTTTTGTCTAAAACTTCGTCGGCACTCATTATTGCATTTGCACTTGTAAATTTGCTGTAAAATGTTGCACAAGAAACTGTAAAATGTGCAAGCAAAATGAACTACAATTTGGCAGTAGTTCAGATGCACCAGGTAGTTAAAAACACTTCTATATAAGTACTCAAGAAAGTGAATGGTGTGCACATAGATTGCTACACTATCTTGATCCACTATCCTATCCTATTTCTATATAAATAATTACACTAGTGTACTGTAAGATAGTTGGTGTGAGTGGCAAACATACCTACCTTTCTCAGGTCTTTGCTTTATTTTTTAATTTAAACTGAATAGTATGCAAATTAAAAGATTAATCTTAATAAAATCTACATACAGTGTAGGCATAGATAAATGTACGGCTTTAATATTGTCTTTGAATATTTAAACAACTTGTAAGTTGTATTAAAATCCTTGATATCAATACCTACATATGTTACAAATTTTTACAAAGGCTAATAAACATGTAAATAAATGAATGGGTGCCCTACAAAAATTGTAGACAAATTTAAACACAATTTTTTTAATTATGTTTTTTTAGCAATGCCTAATAATTGAATACATGTATGTGGATATAGGTGTTATGTTACATTTTTTATTTAATATTATGTTTAATATTTTGTTCGCATAGTTTTAATTGCACAGCTAAATCTCGCACGTTATTTGTGTTTCGCGTTGCAAATAAAAACTGCAAAACTCTGGTTTGGTACTCGATTTCGATTTATTATTCCTTTTATCATTGATTAAGAAACTCAACGCTTATATGCTTATATAGTTACGTTAGTGTGTGTGTTTTTATCTAAGAGATCATGGTGAATTATTGTGTTTTAATTGTAAATGTAATTCAATTTCATGTTTTGCCAAAGGATCCAATTCGGTACGCATATTTGTTGATGATGATAACTTTAGATATTATAATTTGTATTTAAGTTTGGATATTTTTAAGAAATCCAACAAAAATAATAGTTGAACAAACATAACCTTAAAATCAAACATTTTTATGTTGGCAACATAATATTATACACAGTGTGTTTCACTTTACATGGAAGCACCCCGTATTTTCTTTATTTTTGTATGAATTTTTGTATGAATACAATATAATACCCGTTTTTGTTTTTTACCGTTGGGTGGAGACTTCCTTAATCAACGTTTTTAACAATGCATAACTCTGTTTAAATTTAGACGACTTATTTGTTTTACGATTTTTACTGAATAAATTCAATTGAAATTTTTACATTTTTCACGTAAATCATTACTATAACTGATAACGGCCATGTGGTGGCGCTACTAGCGATGCTTATACTAAAGTATATTTTAAACATTTTAATGAATTAAATTACCTATATGAAATTTTATCGGGTAATGATATAAAACGTGATAAATTAAATCTTGAAAATAGGTCGATTAGGTATATTATTTTAATTTTTAGATAACTATCCCGGCGCATTCACCATTTTTTGCAATTATTTATTATGTGCTTATGTAATTTTAGCACGAATTAATAATTCTTTAATATACAGTGTGACCCATTTGTTTGCGACTAAAATCTTTATTTATTGTGCGATTTTAACCGGATTTGATAAACTGTATTTTTGAAGCAAAAAACGCCTTATTTTTACAAAATACAAGGCCTACTATGTCAGTTTTTAAGAGTTCATATTAGCGATTTTTTTAAACAAAATCTAAGCACGGCACTGGATTCACCACCCCTCAAAACGACCCTAAACTAAATTTTATTGAAAAATTTTAAGTAGAAAAATGCACAATAATAACTACAAAAATTTATTTTGTCAAGTTATCCATAAAAAAAACATTGAAATAAAATTAAAGTAATAGCAACATGGCACTACTGTTATTATTGCCCATTTTTCTACTTGAAATTTTAAGGGGTGGTGAATCCAGTGCCGTGCTTAGATTTTGTTTAAAAAATCACTAATATGAATTCTTAAAAATTTACCCTTAAAAACTGACATAGTAAGCCTTGTATTTTGTACTAATATTTATTAAGATCTACACTTTAAAAAACAAATCCGGTTAAAATCGCACAATAAATAAAGATTTTACAGGGGTTTTTATTGTGAAAACAATTTGGTTAAAGAAATATAAATAATATTAAAAGTTTTAATTTAAAATATTGAGTAAATATTTTTCCTCAAATAGGTACGCAAATTAATTTAACAAAATTATTGACACATGACAACCATTCTTGGATGTAGCTGAAATAATTATCTTTTTTATTTAAATAAATTTGCGGTTACACACAGAAACATAATAATTGTGCTAAATATTTAATAATTATTAATAAAATTAATACAATTTTAAAAATGTCTTGTCAAATACTATTAATAAATAAATATAGGTATATAAATTGATTTTTTTAACAGTTGCATAATTTTGGAAGGATTATATGCTTGATAGCAACATTCTTAAATAGAATGATTATTAAATGAATAATTAACGTGTTAAAGACACCTAAACCTTAATGGGACTACATAAAGCGGAAGTAAAAGTGTTACTCATTATATCCAATAGATATATCATAGTAAGTTATAGAAATATTATAACCAAGTTATTTTAGGAATGTTCGTTACAAGATTTAATTTTACTGATGGTCTGTCTTGTTTTCAGAATTATTATTACAAAACAAAGATTTATATGAGGAAATGTTTCTTGAAAAAAAATTGGTCGCAAAATATTTACCAAAAAAAAAATTGTGAAATGATAAATGAATTAATTATAATATTGGTAATGGTTGACAAGGTTTTTTCTGTGAATAGGGGGAAGAAGCTGTAAGAGTGCGCACTTAAAGTATTTTTGCCCATGATAAATCAACAGTTTTTACAGACAACTTGGAAAATGTCTTCAATAAAAATCTGTATATTTCGTAACTCATTTATTAAAAAAAATATTTAAATTAAATCATTTCTAATAAAAAAAAATCAAATTAACAAATTATTGCATATGCGTACTCTTTTCAGTCTGAGTTTGTAAGAGTACGCAAAAGGTATTCTAAGAGTACGCGGCTATTGTGGGCAAAAGTCGCACACATAATTACCTCCCAGATAATTTGAGCACGATTCATGCCACCATTTTTCACATTTTTCACATTGAATCCAGTCCTCGTCTGGTGGATCTGTGAATTCTTCATCACAGCCAGGACATATAGCGTCTGGTTCATTGGGCGCATTTTGTTTATTTTCCAAGACGGTTTTCCCTTGCTTTGAACTTTTTTTTCCTATTTCTGATTTCCTCTGCTTTTCGTATTCTCCTGTATTTTTATTGATATTGCACTTCTTTACTATACCTGTTTTTGTTTTCTTTCTGAAATTATCAATATTGTCACCTTTTTCTTTTTGAACAAGCGTTCTTTTGACTTTTGAGGCTTTTACATTTTCTTTCTCTTCCAACTCGTTCTTATATGGAGTGCTAGTTAAAACCTCTGATTTTTGAGAATTTCGTCTCCGATTTTGCTCAGTTTTAATCACCGGAAGTGGACGTAATTCTTGAGGGGTCACTAATATCATTTCTTCAGGCTTTGTTTCTATTTCAGGGGTCTTTGGTGCCGATCTATTCTGGTCGATTGTTGTCAGAATAACGTGTTCGCAATTTGTTTTCTCTTCTTTATCTTTGGTTTTCTTTTGCTGCATTTCTATTTCAGCTCTTGTCTTCGTTGCGCTAGTACTAGGTTCGTATGAGTCGATCAAAAATTCAACCTCATCGTCTTCAAGGTCAATTCCTAGCCCTGGTTCATTCAATATATTAAACGTGCTATTTGCATCCTCATCTGCCCGACTCTCGTAAATTTCTAGAATAATGTTGTCATCTTGGTTAATTTGTTCTACAAGTACTGGCTGCTGAACTTCATATTTTCTATCTGTCACTAGTGACGGTGCGAAATCCTCATCATCGAAAATTTCTGAATTAAGAGGCCAAATTCCAGTTGATTTAAAGGCATTGACTGCCTTTTCAACATTTGATGTTTTATTATATGCCTTGGTAAATAATTCTCCTACATTCTTTTGGGTGATGACTTTTCCCGGGTTACTTACCATCCACTCATCACAAAAGTGGCTATAAGCAGTTTTTAGTGGGCCAAAGTATCCTTTATCAAGTGGCTGGATTTTGTGACTTGAATGAGGTGGGATGGTCAAGAGGTGAATAAAATTTTCCCTGCAGTAATTAATTACTGCTAAAGTTCTATGGGAAACGTGATTATCAAAGATGAGCAATATGGGATTTTCTATTGTTGGATTAGTGTGCTGCTTAAAATGTTTCATCCATTCCAGTAACAGATCTGAATTTATAAAACCAGAATCTGATATTTGCCGAAGAGTTCCAAAGGGTGTATCTTTAAACAGATCTTCATTCATTCTTTTCCTCTTAAAAATAATAGCTGGAGGCACATATGTACCAGCACTGCTCATGCAACATACAGCTGTGTATAGTTCACCTCTTTCCCCACTAGCTGCTTTTCCAATTAGTTTTTTGCCTTTAGAAGCAACAACTTTAGGCACTTTATTAGGTACAGTCGATAGCCCTGTCTCATCCATATTGTATATATGATGAGCCGGAAACTTGTATTTTTCGTACAGTGATCGTAAATTGGCATAGAACTTTTGAACCTGTGGTCTATTAAATCCCATCATTCGACCAATCGAACACTTTTCTGGTTGTCTTACAGAAAAATTTTGACGTGTGCGAAAATCTCGAGCCCAGGTTTTTCCAGCTATCTTTTTTTCTGTATTAAACCTATGGGAAATATGGTTAGCTTCTGCAAATTCAAAGGCTAGTAATCTAAGATCTCTTAAAGTTAGCCCATAGAATCTAGCATCCATATCTCTGACGTAATTAGCTAGTTGAGTTTCCATTTCTGATGAAAATGTACAGGTAAAGCGACCTAGCGATAAAGGTATTGTGCCAGCCTTAAGTCTTTTGCGAAGGGTAGCCTCGGGGATGCTAAATTCCTTAGCTACACTTCTTTTGCTTTGGCCATTTTCAATTTTTTCACGGATTTCTTGGAGAATATTCTCGGTAAAAACCAATTTTCGTTCACTTTTTCTTTTATAATACGTCATAGCTAGTTATTCCTAAAAGAAAGGCGGTAAGTATTATTATTATTATTGATTATATAAAGGTAATGATAATATTAATTATTATAATTACTTAGTAATGTAATATGTTAAAACACGTTACGCGTAAATTGAACAGGTAGATCTAAAAGCAGTCATTTTAGTCCAACATGTATAGAATGTAAGAGTACGCACCGCGTACTCTTATAAATTTTAAAATGCGCACTCTTATAAACATTTACATTTTTTACATTTATTGGTTATGTTTTGCTCAAAAATTACAAAAATTATGATATAATAAGTTAAACATCTTACCAAATACTGCAGTAAACGTTTCAGATCGACAAACACTTCCTTTTTTATTTCACAGTTTAAATAAAACCTATTTATTGCACTGCAAAAGTTACAATGGACAGCATGTCTTATAATATGAACTGAATTTTACAGAATAGCTTAAGCGATTACAGAAATCTGCATTACCAACAGATATATTACATTAAATGGTACATTAACGTTATAATCAACAGGTGGCGGTAGTCTGTTTATACCGAAAAACGGACACCGCGTACTCTTAGAGAACGCGCACTCTTACCCTACCTTACCTATGTATTTTACATTTTTGTATTCTATGTGTGTTATAAGTGTTAATCATTGACAGTGTATGGAAAACCCATATGTTATATATAAATGAATATAAATAAATCAATATTTATTGTCCTTATTTTAGTAATATAATAATTCTAAATAAATAAATAAATAAAATACAATCAACGCAACTCAAATAACAATTAGCCTATCATATAAATAAATATTTGTAAATAAATATAATTAAATAGTTTAACCACAATCAGACATTCTTTCATTTAAAATTATTATATCTGCATTTGTACATTTTAATATCAAAAGAAAAATATTTAGTTGCAAAATTTCAATTTTAGAGTTTCAAAACCTGTCAAAAAATGCTTGAACAAATCCTAAAAGCCCAAACAAAGGTCAAAAGGTTTAACAAAGCTAAACAAGTTAGAAGCTTAAAAAACCTTGAAATATTTCGGGTAATTGGATACTGACCATATTCAAACAAAATGGATGATTAAAAACTGCCCTCACATTTAAGTATTACCATGTCTTTTCTGAAAATATGGAATATTATTTTTTTTTGAGATTTAAAAATTATTAACAATGGAGTGAAGAAATCTAGATATTAAAATTACGTTTGTACTAATTTAGTTTTAAAATAAAAATATTAATTTAAATAGCTTTCATTTTTTTATTTTATAGACTGGGAAAAATTTTGAATTCAAATTTTTGTCTATTATTTTTTTATTGATTTGGGTTCTATAGTTGTTTATATTTCGAATAAAATTTTATTTTTCATAAAAAATGCCCAAAAAAAACATGATTATACAAATTAACTTATATCGTCTTGAGGCTCGTTTTTAATTAATTAAAAAAAAATTGTTTTTTCATCAAAACAAAGCTTTTTAGGGGGGTCGCAAAAAAATTAATTTTTAACGACTACCCTATTATACATATACATAAAAAATGATTATCGATTAAATAAAAACAAAACACGAATATAACTAAATATTACAAAAAAGTTTCAATTCAACCGTGTTTTTTTGTACTTCTTTTTAACTTTTATTTGACGTGATTTTTGGCATAATCTTTGTTTATGGGTTTATGAGCAAGTATGGAACAAATTCATTTTTTTACTTAAATATTATTAAATATTTGGAGAAAACTGAACGCTTAACTAAAAGTTTTTTACATCTAGTAGTGAATATTTGTTTTAAATTATTTACTAACAAAGAAATATAAAACAAAAAACTTCCATATATCGATACTTGCCATTTGTAGAATAACAAAAAACGATAATAAATTGAAAAAGTTTGACCTTAAAATGAAATATTTTCAGTTTATGGACATTTCTTCTATAAACACTTTTTAATTTTATCAATACCCCATTAAAAAGGATTTTTTACTCCCACCTTTAAAACGCCCTTTATCGTGACACTAAGTGACCTTTTAAATACACATTGACAAGTTGTGGCTTTAGAGCGCTTTAGTCACGGGCTGAAGTTAGCAACAGGTTTTTAGTCACGGGCTGAAGTTAGTTTTAAGTTAGTTGACAGCTGTTAAATGTCATACAATCGTTAAAATAAAGTGCCTTTCTTGTAAAATAATACTAAATGTTAAAATTATTTTATTATCTCAATAAAAAAATACAAAAGTATTAAATAGTTTTTTAACGCCAATATTTGAAAAGTTTATATGAACATTGTACTGATCTTTAAATTTCGCCGGCAGTAAACTATATATATGTATATATATCTTAAATTCGGGCACGGACTCCAATGTGCTCATAAAACATTTTATTTACTTTCACTGTAAAAAACTGTCAATATTCAAGAAATACATTTCGATTTATAACCTTTATAAAATATAAAAATTTGATATTTGACGGTGACACACAGATTCCCCTATTGTTTCATAGATGGCGCCCTATACAAATTTTTGATTTAAATCATTTTAAGATAATAATAAGTATTTTTCGTTGAAAAAGTATAGTATGGACCTCGTTTATGAACTTTTCTATACACTCATTAATTTAAGCACTCGCTCGCAAGCTCGCTCGTGCCTAAATTAAATTCGTGTATAAAATGGCAAACATAATATACTATTAATAAAAACTATGAAACATCAAAACATTTTAAAAAACTATATATTTTTCACTTTTAATAATAATATATTATTAATTATTAATATCTCCGAAACCATTAGCCCAAAAAGGTATAAATTTGAAAATTGCTGTCCAGAATTACTGCATGATAAAAATGAAACTTTTTTACAAACATTTTATGTGTTTTTGTTAATATTATTTTTGTTTGTTTAGTAATTTTATGGTAATAGGCAGACAAAAATGTTGGAAAACGAATAAAAAAGTTTTATAGGTATTTATTAAAAGAACGTCTATAGAGCAGTTTTAAGTTATTTTTTAGTAACTTTTTTGTACTAAATTTTACAGATAAACTTTTCTTTAAGTTTATGTGAAAACCTTTTCCTTTAAGTGTTTGTGCTTCTATATTGAGAAAACTTATAGGTTCCATATTTAGGACATTATAAATGCTTATAAGGTAGGTATAATTTAAAACAAATTATGTATTAGGTACTTTCCAAATCAATTGCAATGTATTGTATTTGAATTAACTACGTTGTCGATGACATTTAGCTTGGCAAAATTTCTTCGAAAATTATTGATAGGCAAATTTTAATCACAAGACGAGTGGTTTTTTACGCTGGTGTGGTTTCAGCAGGACGCACGTAAACACGCAAAATAAACCATTTCCCCCTATTATCACAAGCATTTAAACAAGGACGGATTATGACACTTGAAGACGGCAACTTTAAACGATAGAAAGAAATCGAATTGTAAGGTATCAGTACCTACTACCTAATCTATGGAGAGGCGATATTTTTTCGAATCTCGAGTTAAATCAGTTTTATCAGATTTTGTGTTGTGATGTGTTAATAGTATAATGGAAATTATTCACAATAATCGAAGGCACTCCCCCAAATTAAGTCTGGTAGTACCCATTGTGGCGGACACTGTTTTGTTACTGATTTTGCAGCAACGCGACTTGCCAGAGACTTTTGACAATTAATTATAACGATAGTGTAAATTTTCGGATTTTTGTTTGTTTTGAATTTCTTAATTACTTGTGCACACAAGTGGTGTCAGTTTCAAGATTTGTGCTGGATTAACGGTAAGTCGAATTAGCTGTGATTTCAATCAATTAATTCAGATAATTATTTAAATTTTACTTTACTGATACTGATTTTAGATTAGTTCTGTATAATGAGTAGAAAGCAATGGTTTTTACTGCTTTGCCTTTTTTCCATTTATCTGCTGATGGGGGCTTCCATTTTTTATGTAATCGAATCGAAGGAAGAATTTTTGAGGATGGAAAGGGAGAATGAGGAAAGAAGAGAAATTGAGGGTAAGATTTTTAAATAACGATAGTTTTTCAATTTTCAATATTTTTGTAACAATCTATTGCTCACAATGTATACGTTAATTACCTGCACAAATCAAAAAATCAAAATAACACAAAACACATTAAGCTTATAAGATTACAGCGTTGTCAAGTTTCCTAAACCTATGCTTAATAAATTGACAGAAATTTGAAAATTTAATTATTTACTAGGGTGGGTTGAAAACAAAATGTTTGTTTTATTTTCTTAGCATGGGGGTAGAATTTTTACCTTATAAAAAAAGAAAATTTTTCAAAAAAAAAAAATTTTACTCAACATCTTGAGGTGGCCCACTAGTTTTTTAAATAAATATTTAATCAAAAGGGGGTAGTTCCAACGGGATATTCTTTTTTTGGTCCAAAAGCGTGGAAAACATGTAAAAATTGTAAAACGTGATTTTTTTTACTCAACTTTCATTCTAATACAAAAGCAAGTGCATTTCATTTTTTAATTTTCTACTTAAATTACAAATACAATGGGGAAAAACTTTTTCAACTTTTGACACCCTACAGATTCTAAAACAACTACCCCATTTGATTGTTTTTTTGAAAAATTTTCTTTTTTTGATTTTTTTGAAATTTACTTAAATTTTTGTATATAGTTAAATTTTTTGGTAACATATCAGATACTTATTATAATTTTGGTTTTAAGCATACGCAATATTTTAATAATATAACAATTTACTTTTAAATATTCCTAAAAATATGAATTTTACGACTTGAATGTTAAAAACCGATTTTTTAAAATGTATAAATATAATAATATTAAATCCAAGGATATAGTTTTTAAGGCATATCTGACTTAAATTTTTTACAATATTTTCTTGTGATATTTCCTTGTAATATTTCGAGAAACGAACCGTAACATTGCAAACATATTTAACAAAAACTTTATTAAAATAGTTCCTTTTTTATAATTTACATAAAATTATTTTTATTTGCTAAATATATTCAATGACCATCAACAGTATTAAACATTTTCCAATGGTTCTAATTTGGATTAACAGGGACATAAGACGTCGTGATTTCCATATAAATAATTTCATTTCTTTTATTTATATTTATTCTTATTGTTAGTAAAATAATATAAATTTTACATTTAAAAAACATTTATTATATTAGTTATGCATACTTATATTACCTATATTATATTATTATACAATCATTTATATTTTTAATAGCTTAATTTTGTTTATTTATTGTCATTTTCTAAGGCTACCTGTAAAATTTGAAATTTTGGTGACAACTGCGTAGGCATAGAAAAATTATTTTGCTTAATAAATTTAATTAATTTATTAATTTATGCGACATTTCAAAAATTATATAATTATTAGGGTGATTTAAAAAAATCCCAAATATAAAGATAAATGGAAAACTGTGCTGATGAGGATCTTCCACTTTCTAGAGGTGCCTAAGAACCAATTTTTCAGTGTCATAATTAAAAAAATTTTTTTGAACCATTGTAATAATTACCTATATTATATTATTATTTAAAAAAATAATTAACATTAATTAATTATAATTAATTAATTATTTTTCTGTTTAAAAATTGTACGTAAAATATTTATTAGGACGGCAGTTAAATCTTTTGTATATGAATTAGAAAAACATTTGAGAATCTGACAGCTGCATGTCTAAGATTTTTTAAGATAAAAATCAAAAGATATATCTATAGATATATAAGCAAAATATTTTCCCAGAATTCCTAACACAGGCGCCATAACTGTCGCTCAATATTATCAATATGTATTTTTATATAATAAAAAATATTTTAATAATTTGTTATAAACATACAATTGTATAAAAGGTCGTGAAATTATTATTTATCTACGAGGTGTGTTCAGAAAATATCGGGAATTGTTAAATTTCGCGGCTTCGGAGGGTCCGGTTGTCATAAAATTTTATTTATTATGTTGGTATACATGCCCCCGAAGTATGATAAAAACTGTAGCTGTTTTCATTGTTTACTTTATTTGTGGCAGCCGCTAAGGTTAGACGTGTTTTATGAGCTCGGCGATTTTCGTTCGTTAAAAGAAATGGATCGAAGAGAATTTGTATCCAATTTTGCTTAAAAAATTAAATAAATTCTGTGAAATGTTAACAAAGGCCTATAGTGAGTCTGCTATAAGTAAAACAAGAGTTTACAAGTGGTATAAGAGTTTCCAAGATGGCCGTGAAGACGTTGAAGATGACGAACGCCCCGAACGCACAAGCACATTAACAACCGATAATAACATGGAAAAAGTGGAAGAAATGGTTATAAACCATCAGAAAAGTCGCTGATGATGTTGGTATATCGATTGGCTCATCCCATGAAATTTTTTCAAATGTTTTGGGTATGAAACGCGTGACAGCAAAATTTGTTCCAAAATTGTTAAATTTTGAAAAAAATGTTTGGCCATAAACAATACTGTAATGATGCCCCAGCCTCCATATTCACCAGACATGCCTCTGTCTGACTTTTTCCTATTCCCAAAAATAAAGAGAACCTTAAAGGGCCGTCGTTTTGCAAGCATAGATGACATTAAAAGCCCATCGCTGAAAGAACTAAAGGCTATCTCAAAGATAGAGTTTTAGAAGTGTATTCGAGTATTGGAAGAAGAGCTGGCACATGTGCATAATATCCAAATGGGACTAATTTGAAGGCGACAACATTAATGTAGACGAATAAATAAATAATTGTTTCAAAAAACGAAAATTCCCGATATTTTCTGAACACACCTCGTATACAACATTCACAAGAATAACAAAATTTATTTTTAAAATTTTTATGATTTTTATATAATCTAATCTACCCGACCACTTTAAACAAGAAGAAACCCATACACAAAAGGATACTTATATATTTTAAAAACATTCCAAAATTGGTTTTGGTTTTATTAGGTGAAAAACAAAACCATAAGAAGGTTAAAAAATATGCAATTAAAAAATTATCACTCTATCAAATCAGGGATGCTAATAAAAATGTGTTAAGTAATACTGCAATTATTTTCACATAATTTGTCATTACAATTTATTACTTTTGTTTGTTTTAAAACCTCTATATTTGACTTTTACAATACGTGCAAATTAGTTATTAATTATTCAACACTTAGTATATCATGTTTAGCGTATATGTATTGTATTATAGTTTGGTACTATTTTCTAAGCTTTAAAATAAAAATTTAAAAAAAATATTTTGTCCCATACTGAACAAAGTAAGTTACACTAGTTAAATAACGAAAATATTGTTCAACTAGTAAAACAATAAATAAATAAGTTTGATAATTTAAAAAAATTGCAATACTCGTAAACTAGTTAAAAGGAACATTTTTCTTATTTTTATCCAAAGATCTTACCCTAACTTATTTTTGAAGTATTATAATTATAATTCACCCTGTATAGAAAAGTTACTTCAAAGAAGTAGATTTTTATTTGTATTCAAACAAACAAAATGCAGTCAAGTTTATTTAACAAGATGTATTTAATAGATAAGAAGAAAATATTGAGCCGACAAAGTTTATTTCTTACCATTTTTAGGCTCAACACTTACATACATACAATTAAATTTGAATACACCATAAATCAGTAAAGCAACTGAATAGAGTGAGTTTTATGTCGTTATAAGTGAACTGGTTTCACTAGTTTAGGACAACGAGTTGAAGTACAACAATATAAATTTAAAATAAGATCAAGTGCGACTTATAAAAAAATATAAACAAAAATGTTTATTAGATACTATCTAATAGATACAGCGTTAAACAAAAAGTAAGGTACACGTCCCAATTATCTGTAGGTAGTGTTATTTTTTTTGAACAGTAGCCTGTTATACTTGGAATTATTATTTTTTTAATTGACAAAGTGGATAAGATAACACAAAACCATAGTCATGGAATTTCAAGACCGTCATATCGAAGGACATTTTTTTATCTTAAATATCATAAAAATCCCAATTATTCGTATTAATTAAGAAAGTCATGACGTTAACAATATTGAAATATTTTATTAAATCAACAGATTATACACTATGAATACAAATAGGTAGTACGATAAAAAATCATTCAGGTATTGTTTATCGTACTAATAAAGATACCCAATATTAAATTCATAAAAATATATTTTTACTCCCCCCTTTAAAACGCCCATTATCGTACAAGTTGTGCCTTTATGGCCTTTTAGTCACGGGCTGAAGTTAGTAGAAAAAGTATAGTATGCAACTTGTTTATAAACTTTTCTAGACACTCATTTAATTAAGCACTCGCTCGTAAGCTCGCTCGTGTCTAAATTAAATTCGTGTTTAAAATGGCGTTTATCAAACTTGAAATTTCCGAGAAATCGTTGTTTGAAATTTATAATCGAATCGATAAGTTTTAAAAAGATTTAAAAAATAACTGCATTTTTAAGAAGTTTATTTAAACTTTAAATACTGTTTTTTTAGGTTTAATAAAACATTACTACCCTGATGGAGATAAGAAGTTTTTGGACCGATTGGCAACATACTGCGAGAAACCCCTGGCAGTAGATATGTCCCGTGAAAAAAGTGAAGAAAAATGGGATTTTTATCATTCCTTGTTTTTCGTTATAACCGTTGTAAGCACAATAGGTAATACTTAAAAGTATGCACAATAAATAGATGTTAACTAAATTTTTATAGGTTATGGTAATCTTGCTCCGACAACCATGTTATCAAGAATCATCATGATCTTCTATGCTTTAATTGGTATTCCAATTAATGGTATAGTGATGATTTCACTTGGTAGCTACTTTGGTAGTAAAGTAAGTACAATCACTTTACTAAAAAATGTTATAATTATAAATAATCATTTATTTTAGTTCGAAAAACTATACCATAGGTGGAAGTCGGCCAAAATGCAATACGATTCCACAAAACTAGGATTAGTCAGCCAAATATTCCTCTACCTCATTCCAGGATTTGTATTCTTCATATTCTTGCCATCCCTAATAATGGTAATGTTCGAAGGGTGGAACTATGACGTAGCAGTCTATTATGCCTTTGTTACACTCACCACTATAGGATTCGGAGATTTCGTATCAGGTAATATACTCTTGAAATAGTAGAGTATTTTTATATGGTAATGAGACCATGCAATTAATTTCTCCTATTTAGTAGAAAAAAGGTTGAATAATTAAAATGTTTACTTGATGGCAAAATTAATTAAATTAAGTGCGAGTGTATTAATAAATAGTTATAATTAATTAAACACATTCTTGAGTTAATTCTAATTGATGTCTAACAAGATACCACAATATAAATTTCTATGTCAGACTTGATTGATTTATATACCTACTCGTAGTTTTGAATTGTAATATTTTCATTTTATACTTTCAGGTGTTAAAAATGAATACCACGTTAACGACATCTGGTACATGACATACAAGATATTCCTACTATTTTGGGTGATAGGCGGCATAGGCTACGTCCTGATGGTAATAAACTTCATCACCAGAGGTATGATGAGCAAAAAGATCGTAAAACTAGAGCACATAATAACGGAGAACATAAAGAAGACCCCTCAAAGAATAAGACAAGAATTGCGTACCCTCCTCCATGAGTTTCTCCTGGTTAAAGTTAAGCCCGTTTATAAAGGGGAGTTCTTGTATGAACCACACGTTCTCGAAAGATCTCAAAGTTGCCCGGATTTGTCGATGTTCGATAGCGCCGAATCGATTTCTTGCGTGAGACAAAGAGCTTTCTCTGTAGGTTTCAGAGAAATAAAACCGAGGCACAGCTTCCAATCTGAATCAGAGCTCGACAAAATTGACAAGGAACGTACTTTTAGACCTTCAGATGCTCTTTTGAAACAAAACCATCTTCTTCTCAAAGTTGTGGATGCTTTAGGCCATAAATCTGGTAAATATGGATTGGACTTGTTTAGTGATAGAGATATATTGGCATCAGAGAATATAAGTTCCAATGCATCAAGCGATATGAATTTACATGATGCTAGACGAAGAGCTTTAAGTGATACAACTCCTCCACTGGGTATTAACATAGATTTCGAAAAGAATAATGGTCATACTTGGTATGGCGATGATGCTAAGTATAAATTAAAAGAATTTAGGGAAAGAACATGCTCCATGCCTCAGCAAAGACCGAGAACTAACTCCAGCATATTTAGAAAGATTAGGGATAGAATTATGAATCAAACCAAAACTGTGGATGTTGAGAAGCAAGCTGAAGATTATCCACAGAAACCTAAAGATGTTCCTAATATAAATCTTCTTGATGAAAGCTTCCTACGACCAATAGGTTTACTTGACGAACAGGATAATTATCTTAAACAGACTAGAAGGGGTAGATACAGCATGTTTGCAGGTCCACAAGAAAACTATGTACGTCAAACAAGAGCAGGGAGAAGATCCATCGCAGATTATCAAGATGCTGTGCTAGAGCAAACCTCCATAGCCGACTTCTTAAGAGCTTTAACAGCAGTGTCAGTCCCTGAAACACTAGGACCAAATTTGAAACGCCGCAAAATGGGTACTGCCAGTATAACACCGCCAGAGATAGCCACACCTTCCAGAACACGTAGAATGCCAATAAGAGCTCAATACCAAAACAGAAGAGCGTCTTTGATGCCATCACAGACCACCAACAAACTCCCTCCAAGGAGATTCTCGTTGAGACCCGTGGACGAGAATTTAAGTACCTCACCACCCCCTTACTCCATTACTGTGAATGAGGGTAGACGGTCTATTAGAAGTAGAAATAGGAGGTTTTCCATTAGACCTACAACGATGGCGTTTGGAAATAGCACAGGTCCCGTACAAAGACAGTGTACAGTTTTAAAAAAAGACAAAACTGAAAGTGGAGAGAAAGCGGATAAACAATAAAATGCCTTAAATATAAATAAGTATATTTAATAAGCCAATTAAGACTGATTAATAGCGGTGCTATAATTGTATTAATATTTTTAAAACTAGTCATAGTGTAGGGAAATTAAATTTGTTTTTATACTATAATAATATAAACAGGGTAAATTACTTTTATAGTTGTGAGTTCCTAATGAATGTAAACTATAATAGTGTATTATTAAATCTCAAATAACTTTAAATAAAAAATAACTTCGTATTTATTTAGCTTTTTTACGAACCCTACTCCATGAGTTCCTATTGGTTGAAGCCTGTTTATAAAGGGGAGTTCTTGTATAAACCACACATTCTCGAAAGATCTCAAAGTTGCCTGGATTTGTCGATGTTTGATAGCTAAATCGATTTCTTGCGTGACACAAAGAGCTTTCTATATTGGTTTCAGAGAAATTAAACCAATGCATAGCCTCCAATCTGAATCAGAGCTCGAAAAAATTGATAAGGAACGTACTTTTAGACCTTCAGATGCTCTTTTGAAACAAAACCATCTTTTTCTCAAAGTTGTGGATGCTTTAGGCCATAAATCTGGTGAATATGGATTGGACTTGTTTAGTGATAGAGATATATTGGCATCAGAGAATATAAGTTCCAATGCATCAAGCGATATGAATTTACATGATGCTAGACGAAGAGCTTTAAGTGATACAACTCCTCCACTGGGTTATAATATAGATTTCGAAAAGAATAATGGTCATACTTGGTATGGCGATGATGCTAAGTATAAGTTAAAAGAATTTAGGGAAAGAACATGCTCCATGCCTCACCAAAGACCGAGAACTAACTCCAGCATATTTAGAAAGATTAGGGATAGAATTATGAATCAAACCAAAACTGTGGATGTTGAGAAGCAAGCTGAAGATTATCCACAGAAACCTAAAGATGTTCCTAATATAAATCTTCTTGATGAAAGCTTCCTACGACCAATAGGTTTACTTGACGAACAGGATAATTATCTTAAACAGACTAGAAGGGGTAGATACAGCATGTTTGCAGGTCCACAAGAAAACTATGTACGTCAAACAAGAGCAGGGAGAAGATCCATCGCAGATTATCAAGATGCTGTGCTAGAGCAAACCTCCATAGCCGACTTCTTAAGAGCTTTAACAGCAGTGTCAGTCCCTGAAACACTAGGACCAAATTTGAAACGCCGAAAAATGGGTACTGCCAGTATAACACCGCCAGAGATAGCCACACCTTCCAGAACACGTAGAATGCCAATAAGAGCTCAATACCAAAACAGAAGAGCGTCTTTGATGCCATCACAGACCACCAACAAACTCCCTCCAAGGAGATTCTCGTTGAGACCCGTGGACGAGAATTTAAGTACCTCACCACCCCCTTACTCCCTTACTGTGAATGAGGGTAGACGGTCTATTAGAAGTAGAAATAGGAGGTTTTCAATTAGACCTACAACGATGGCGTTTGGAAATAGCACAGGTCCCGTACAAAGACAGTGTACAGTTTTAAAAAAAGACAAAACTGAAAGTGTAGAGAAAGCGGATAAACAATAAAATTCCTTAAATATAAATAAGTATATTTAATAAGCCAATTAAGACTGATTAATAGCGGTGCTATAATTGTATTAATATTTTAAAAACTAGTCATAGTGTAGGGAAATTAAATTTGTTTTTATACTATAATAATATAAACAGGGTAAATTACTTTTATAGTTGTGAGTTCCTAATGAATGTAAACTATAATAGTGTATTATTAAATCTCAAATAACTTTAAATAAAAAATAACTTCGTATTTATTTAGCTTTCTTACGAACCCTACTCCATGAGTTCCTATTGGTTGAAGCCTGTTTATAAAGGGGAGTTCTTGTATAAACCACACATTCTCGAAAGATCTCAAAGTTGCCTGGATTTGTCGATGTTTGATAGCTAAATCAATTTCTTGCGTGACACAAAGAGCTTTCTATAATGGTTACAGAGAAATTAAACCAATGCATAGAGAAATTAAACCAATCTGAATCAGAGCTCGAAAAAATTGATAAGGAACGTAGTTTTAGACCAGATGCTCTTTTGAAACAAAACCATCTTCTTCTAAAAGTTGTGGATGCTTTAGGCCATAAATCTGGTGATTATGGATTGGACTTGTTTAGTGATAGAGATATATTGGCAACTGAGAATATAATTTCCAATGCATCAAGCGATATGAATTTACATGATGCTAGACGAAGAGCTTTAAGTGATACAATTCCTCCACTGGGTATTAATATAGATTTCGAAAAGAATAATGGTCATACTTGGTATGGCGATGATGCTAAGTATAAGTTAAAAGAATTTAGGGAAAGAACATGCTCCATGCCTCAGCAAAGACCGAGAACTTCCAGCATATTTAGAAAGATTAGGAATAGAATTATGAATTAAACCAAAACTGTGGATGTTGAGAAGCAAGCTGAAGAAGATTATCCACAGAAACCTAAAGATGTTCCTAATATAAATCTTCTTGATGAAAGCTTCCTACGACCAATAGGTTTACTTGACGAACAGGATAATTATCTTAAACAGACTAGAAGGGGTAGATACAGCATGTTTGCAGGTCCACAAGAAAACTATGTACGTCAAACAAGAGCAGGGAGAAGATCCATCGCAGATTATCAAGATGCTGTGCTAGAACAAACCTCCATAGCCGACTTTTTAAGAGCTTTAACAGCAGTGTCAGTCCCTGAAACACTAGGACCAAATTTGAAACGCCGAAAAATGGGTACTGCCAGTATAACACCGCCAGAGATAGCCACACCTTCCAGAACACGTAGAATGCCAATAAGAGCTCAATACCAAAACAGAAGAGCGTCTTTGATGCCATCACAGACCACCAACAAACTCCCTCCAAGGAGATTCTCGTTGAGACCCGTGGACGAGAATTTAAGTACCTCACCACCCCCTTACTCCCTTACTGTGAATGAGGGTAGACGGTCTATTAGAAGTAGAAATAGGAGGTTTTCCATTAGACCTACAACGATGGCGTTTGGAAATAGCACAGGTCCCGTACAAAGACAGTGTACAGTTTTAAAAAAAGACAAAACTGAAAGTGCAGAGAAAGCGGATAAACAATAAAATTCCTTAAATATAAATAAGTATATTTAATAAGCCAATTAAGACTGATTAATAGCGGTGCTATAATTTTATTAATATTTTAAAAACTAGTCATAGTGTAGGGAAATTAAATTTGTTTTTATACTATAATAATATAAACAGGGTAAATTACTTTTATAGTTGTGAGTTCCTAATGAATGTAAACTATAATAGTGTATTATTAAATCTCAAATAACTTTAAATAAAAAATAACTTCGTATTTATTTTGCTTTCCTACGAACCCTACTCCATGAGTTCCTATTGGTTAAAGACTGTTTATAAAGGCGAGTTCTTGTATAAACCACACACTCTCGAAAGATCTCAAAGTTGCCTGGATTTGTCGATGTTTGATAGCTAAATCGATTTCTTGCGTCACACAAAGAGCTTTCTATATTGGTTTCAGAGAAATTAAACCAATGCACAGCTTCCAATCTGAATCAGAGCTTGATAAAATTGATACGGAACGTACTTTTAGACCTTTAGATGCTCTATGAAACAAAACCATCTTGTTCTCAAAGTTGTTGATGCTTTAGGCCATAAATCTGATGGTGATTATGGATTGAACTTGTTTAGTGATAGAGATATATTGGTATCAGAGAATATAAGTTCCAATGCATCAAGCGATATGAATTTACATGATGCTAGACGAAGAGCTTTACACTTAAACACTATACAACTCCTCCACTGGGTATTAATATAGATTTCGAAAAGAATAATGGCGATGATGCTAAGTATAAGTTAAAAGAATTTAGGGAAAGAACATGCTCCATGCCTCAGCAAAGACCGAGAACTAACTCCAGCATATTTAGAAAGATTAGGGATAGAATTATGAATCAAACCAAAACTGTGGATGTTGAGAAGCAAGCTGAAGATTATCCACAGAAACCTAAAGATGTTCCTAATATAAATCTTCTTGATGAAAGCTTCCTACGACCAATAGGTTTACTTGACTGTAACGAAGTTACTTTTATTTTCCCATATTTACCGCCGTCGGTACACCCTGTATGTGGATTTTCGTACAAGTGGACCTGCGACGTCATGATTCCACTTCCATTCTATTCAAACAAGTGGGGAGCTGCGCCGTTTGGTTCCCTGATGTCGCCATTGCGCACCCGAGATGATATAAAAGGCCGAACAGAGCAATTAAAACTCTCTCTTATATCCCGTCAGCCCGACCCCGAAAACCCGAACTATTGCAAGCTAGTTGATCCGTATTATTAGTAATCATTTATTACAAAGATTCTCGTTGTGTATAAGCCACCCGTGCCCCGTAACGCTCGGTATCTGCTCTGCCGTAGACAGTACCAAGCAGGCGAATCGGCTGACCACCGCGAGCCCGTCCCGTGGTTGACGCTTTGTTAAAACATCTGCTAAAGGCCCGTAGTATTTTCTTCCCGTAACATTTAATTTCATTTTATTTTACAGCATTGGTTTAGTTGAGTGCATTTCCGTATTAATATTTGCTAGAAGTGTGACCTTCAGTTTTTATATTCATTGTTCCCGTTTTTTTATTAATTTACTTGTGTTGTCAATATTATTTTATTTAGTTAATGCACTTCTAATATTATAATCTTTTCATATTACTTCAGTTTGGTAATTTAGGTCATCTTTATATACTGAGTGTTCTACTTTTCATTATTGTTTTAAATTATTATTTGTTTTGTATATAAAGAGTTTTATTATTATTTCAATATATGTATTAAATTAAACCATTGCATTTTAATCATAAAAGCTAATTGACCCCTGGAATATCCCTTCTCCACTGTCTAAAAGCAGGCCCAGGTACGTGGTGCTTCTCCACTTTAAATAACGAAGCTGGCGCTCGAGATTTTATAAGAAAATCCTTAAGGTAAGCTCGCGCCATTTTTCACTAACGTTACAAAATCCCGAAACAACGAACAGGATAATTATCTTAAACAGACTAGAAGGGGTAGATACAGCATGTTTGCAGGTCCACAAGAAAACTATGTACGTCAAACAAGAGCAGGGAGAAGATCCATCGCAGATTATCAAGAAAACTAGTCATAGTGTAGGGAAATTAAATTTGTTTTTATACTATAATAATATAAACAGGGTAAATTACTTTTATAGTTGTGAGTTCCGAATGAATGTAAACTATAATAGTGTATTATTAAATCTTAAATAACTTTAAATAAAAAATAACTTCGTATTTATTTAGCTTTCTTACGACCCTACTCCATGAGTTCCTATTGGTTAAAGCCTGTTTATAAAGGGGAGGTCTTGTATAAACCATACATTCTCGAAAGATCTCAAAGTTGCCTGGATTTGTCGATGTTTGATAGCTAAATCGATTTCTTGCGTGACACCAAGAGCTTTCTATATTGGTTTCAGAGAAATTAAACCAATGCATAGCCTCCAATCTGAATCAGAGCTCGAAAAAATTGATAAGGAACGTACTTTTAGACCTTCAGATGCTCTTTTGAAACAAAACCATCTTCTTCTCAAAGTTGTGAATGCTTTAGGCCATAAATCTGGTGAATATGGATTGGACTTGTTTAGTGATAGAGATATATTGGCATCAGAGAATATAAGTTCCAATGCATCGAGCGATATGAATTTACATGATGCTAGACGAAGAGCTTTAAGTGATACAACTCCTCCACTGGGTATTAATATAGATTTCGAAAAGAATAATGGTCATACGTGGTATGGCGATGATGCTAAGTATAAATTAAAAGAATTTAGGGAAAGAACATGCTCCATGCCTCAGCAAAGACCGAGAACTAACTCCAGCATATTTAGGAAGATAAGGGATAGAATTATGAATCAAAGCAAAACGGTGGATGTTGAGAAGCAAGCTGAAGATTATCCACAGAAACCTAAAGATGTTCCTAATACAAATCTTCTTGATGAAAGCTTCCTACGACCAATAGGTTTACTTGACGAACAGGATAATTATCTTAAACAGACTAGAAGGGGTAGATACAGCATGTTTGCAGGTCCACAAGAAAACTATGTACGTCAAACAAGAGCAGGGAGAAGATCCATCGCAGATTATCAAGATGCTGTGCTAGAGCAAACCTCCATAGCCGACTTTTTAAGAGCTTTAACAGCAGTGTCAGTCCCTGAAACACTAGGACCAAATTTGAAACGCCGAAAAATGGGCACTGCCAGTATAACACCGCCAGAGATAGCCACACCTTCCAGAACACGTAGAATGCCAATAAGAGCTCAATACCAAAACAGAAGAGCGTCTTTGATGCCATCACAGACCACCAACAAACTCCCTCCAAGGAGATTCTCGTTGAGACCCGTGGACGAGAATTTAAGTACCTCACCACCCCCTTACTCCCTTACTGTGAACGAGGGTAGACGGTCTATTAGAAGTAGAAATAGGAGGTTTTCAATTAGACCTACAACGATGGCGTTTGGAAATAGCACAGGTCCAGTACAAAGACAGTGTACAGTTTTAAAAAAAGACAAAACTGAAAGTGGAGAGAAAGCGGATAAACAATAAAATGCCTTAAATATAAATAAGTATATTTAATAAGCCAATTAAGACTGATTAATAGCGGTGCTATAATTGTATTAATATTTTTAAAACTAGTCATAGTGTAGGAAATTTAAATTTGTTTTTATACTACAATAATATAAACAGGGTAAATTACTTTTATAGTTGTGAGTTCCTAATGAATGTAAACTATAATAGTGTATTATTAAATCTCAAATAACTTTAAATAAAAAATAACTTCGTATTTATTTAGCTTTCTTACGAACCCTACTCCATGAGTTCATATTGGTTAAAGCCTGTTTATAAAGGGGAGTTCTTGTATAAACCACACATTATCGAAAGATCTCAAAGTTGCCTGGATTTGTCGATGTTTGATAGCTAAATCGATTTCTTGCGTGACACCAAGAGCTTTCTATATTGGTTTCAGATAAATTAAACCAATGCATAACCTCCAATCTGAATCAGAGCTCGAAAAAATTGATAAGGAACGTACTTTTAGACCTTCAGATGCTCTTTTGAAACAAAACCATCTTCTTCTCAAAGTTGTGAATGCTTTAGGCCATAAATCTGGAGAATATGGATTGGACTTGTTTAGTGATAGAGATATATTGGCATCAGAGAATATAAGTTCCAATGCATCAAGCGATATGAATTTACATGATGCTAGACGAAGAGCTTTAAGTGATACAACTCCTCCACTGGGTATTAATATAGATTTCGAAAAGAATAATGGTCATACGTGGTATGGCGATGAGGCTAAGTATAAATTAAAAGAATTTAGGGAAAGGACATGCTCCATGCCTCAGCAAAGACCGAGAACTAACTCCAGCATATTTAGAAAGATTAGGGATAGAATTATGAATCAAACCAAAACTGTGGATGTTGAGAAGCAAGCTGAAGATTATCCACAGAAACCTAAAGATGTTCCTAATATAAATCCTCTTGATGAAAGCTTCCTACGACCAATAGGTTTACTTGAAGAACAGGATAATTATCTTAAACAGACTAGAAGGAGTAGATCCAGCATGTTTACAGGTCCAAAAGAAAACTATGTACGTCAAACAAGAGCAGGGAGAAGATCCATCGGAGATTATCAAGATGCTGTGCTAGAACAAACCTCCATAGCCGACTTCCAAAGAGCAAACAGCAGAGACAGTCCCTGAAACACTAGGACCAAATTTGAAACGCCAGTGTAACACCGCCAGACATCTTAATGCCTCCACAGGCCACCAGCAATATCCCTTCAAGATTACAGTGTAGTTTAAAAAAAAAAGATAAAACTAAAAGTGGGATTGAAGCGAAAGAAGATTAGGGAGAGAATTAAAAATCATACCAAAACTGTAAATGTTAAAAATCACTGAAAAAGATTATTAAATTATATTATTTCCATTATTTTGTAGGTATCTAAAAATAAAACCATAGGTTAATTAACTATATATTTATTGGATGATATATAACAATGACGTGAAATAAATGAAAAAAAATGCGTAATATGTATGTTTACATAAATAAATTATTTATGAACTAATAATATAACAATCTTTACATAACTAGAAGCTAAATTTGACAATCCATTTAATAACAATGGATTTTAGTAGGTACATCGTGTCAGTGCAAATATTCCAAACAGTGTTTACTGTTTTATTTAAATATAATAATAAATAATACCCTTTTTACATATAAAATCATCAATACTATTGTATTACAAATTTTGTAAAAATATATGGCTTTAATCCTATTGCAGAAGCAATATAATAAAGTTTAGAGTATACGTCATCAAGTTTGAACTTGTTGCGAGGTTTTCTGAGCCTCCTCAAGACATTTTGGTTCTTGTAAAGACAAAGGCGGACTTATAGCGACGGGTTGGTTTTCCAACATCGTTTTGAAGATTTTTATAAGATTGTTTACGCCTATCAAGTAGCCATCTTCATGGTTACCAACCCTCCAGGACGAGTGGTGGTCTATTTTGACATTGTCTGGGAGGCTGATAGTTTTTGCGAAGTCTATCAGCCACACATTGGCAGTATATCTATCGTGAACAAATAATAAAGAACTACCAATTATCTGAAACAATAATTTTATTAAATGTGCATTTTGAAGGTGTAAGAGGAGTAGTTACCTCATGAGTATTAAAAAAGTCTGATGTTTCCAATGTTGCCTTTATAGCTTGAAGCCTTTGAATGTATTTGGTCTAAAAAAAAAACACCAAAAATTAAACACGCATAATTTTAATAAAATGTTTACTCACCAATGCATGAGGGAATCCGTCGATAAAACTCTCGAAAGCTTCCATTACATGATCTTTAGTCTTTGTGGTTTTAAAGTCTTTACTTGAAGTGCCGTCGGCATTCCTTACACCCTCTATCCTAAAACCTAATGTTGCTGTGGAGGAAATTGTTTCCCTCCAAACCATGTACCTCGGTTTTGTCACTCCTTTCACTTTATGCTCCTCGTCCGTAGGTGCATCTTGATCGATTTGGCACATTTTTTCGTACATGTCCTTTCTTAACTTGGGTTTTTCCTTTGCTTTCGCCAACTCTTCCTCAAGATACGTTCTGACACCTATTTTGCAGTCCATCACACAGGGTGAAACAAAGTCACCAAGTAAGTCTTGGAGTTGTATGTATGAGCATTCACCATCATCACTTGCCACTAGACCTTTATACTCTGGAACGTATGGCCTCAGGACATCTTTCATCAAAATCTAGAAAGGAGTTATTTAATTTTATCAAATCTATAAGTATGTATGTTATAGCTTACCTTAAAGCATTTTTCTTCTTTGGGACACAACTTTTTCAATATCGTTCCTTGATCAGGTCCAGCCTTGAAATTTCCTTGGTGACCTGCCAACTGCACCCATGGGTATCTTTGTTTTCTGTAGGTTTGAAAGAAGGGCGTCCATTGGACGATATTCCTGAGCTTCCTCCAACCAGATGGCTATAAGATAAAATAATTTTATTATTTCGAAATTTAGATAAATTTGTTAATGTTAATGTGGGTTCACTCCGTATAATTTTTTAACCAGCAATGACCTTTGCCAAGACTTTTTCGGTTAAGTGGTCAACATAACAAACAAGTTACATCATAGCGATAAAGCTATGTAATTAGTTTGCGTTTTAAGGTTAATCAATAAACTGTTAATTAAAAATGGGTGTGATTGTATTACTGTATCATCATTTTAGCATACGCATGAAAAGCTAAGTACTAAGTCAAGTGTCGTCTTTTTATCTAAAAATTAAAATGTAAATGTCCGCCTTATACAAAGCGACTCAATGTTTTACATTACAAATGAGGTCTGCAAATTGGGGCCAGACAATTGAACGATCGGTGCAAAAGAAATCTTTGAACGCCTGCTCGCTACCGCGTCATTACCCGGTTAAGGTATATGACTTTTCGAAGCCGGCTGACGTCAAAAAATTACCATTGAATTTTATACATTAAGCACATGTATTTTGTTATGCGTGTGGGTATATGCAACCGACACCTTTTTTAGTTTACTGAACGCAGTAAGAAATTAAATAAAAAATTTTAAAGCACTGTCTACAAATATAGTAAATCAATATTTTGATACCAAAAACCAGGTCTGACTTTGATAATATTAAAATAAAGTTTATTAAAAAATATATCTTAAATAATTTTAAATTTTAACAAATCTAAATTTAGTCTAGAAAAGCATGTAAATTTTACAATGTAATAGTAATAAAAAATAATTAAAATTAATAACTAATCAACAATACATTTAAAGCATACGAACTGTACATCATTTTTAAATAAATAGGTAGTTTTTTCACAAAAGAGAGGAAGGCAGAAGTCTTACTCGACAAATTTTGTTCAATTGCACAGCTAAATCGCGCACGTTATTTGTGTTTTACGTTGCAAGGAAAAAACTAAAAAACTGGTTTAGTACTCGATTTCGATTGATTATTCTTTATATCATTGATTAAGAAACTCAACGCTTAAATGCTTATATAGTTACGTTAGTGTGTGTATTTTATCTAAGGGATCATGGTAAATTATGGTGTTTTTAATTTTAAATAAAATTCAAGAACTAAATCGTTGCATTTTCATGTTTTGCCAAAGGATCCAATTCGGTAAGTACATTTGTTGGTGCAGAATTAACTAATGATAACTTTACCTAATATAATTTATATTTAAGTTTGGACATTTTTAAGAAATTAGTAAAAAATAATTTTTGCACAAACAACCTTAAAATCAACCATTTTTTTATTTGAGTTCTCTAAAAAACGACGCATTTTAAACAAAATATACCTACTAATTAATGGCAACATAATATTATATATAATACATAATATAATGGTATTTTACCGTTGAAAATTCATAATCAATGCTTTAAATAATGCTAAATGCTGTTTAAATTTAGACGGCTTATTTGTTTGACAATTATTACTGAATTGAAATGTTTACACTTTTCACTTTAATCATTACTAAAATGTGTATTTATTGTATCTAATAGATACAAGTTATATTTACAGGGACTGTATGAAATTTATTTCTTCATTCGGATTAACACTGTTTATTGGAAAACTGATAAAAACTCAACCCAGGATTTCCTCTTGAAATACAAGAGTCGCAAGAAAAACACAATCAGTATTAACATAACTTTCCTTTAATTTGACAAAATTATAATTTTGTAATTTAACTTTATAAACCATTCAATATTTGGTAATTGGACTCCTTTTTGGAAAAAGACCCAACTGACAGTATATTGAACGTTTACGTTTATTTTCTTAAATCAATTTAAGTTAATTTAATGTTAAGTTCTTGATTGCCACTTTTTTTTAAATATGTATATTTCCCAAAATAAATTCAATTTTTCCCAAAAAAAGACAATTTTTCCAAGGCCTGGAAAAAAACGGAAAAACAGGTTTTTGTACCAATTCCGGGTTTTTTTCGACAATTTAAAACCCCAATATGAATTTATTTAAATTGATTGTTTTGCTTTATGTTCTCTGAAAATTAATTAGTCAAAAATGATTATAGTTTTTAAAGGGAAAAAGCAGTCACAAATAGTCACCAATGCATTGGTCCACAGCAATTTGTTTCCCGGACATTTTTTAGGTAAAATTGTCCCCTGAATCAGAAAAAAATTGTGAAAGTAGAGCAGTTTTTGAGATATAGTCAATTCCATATAATAATAGTAATAATAATAATAATATTTATTTTAATGAATCTTTAAGAAATATCGAAACAATTAAAGATTTAGACATCACTTTTGATAAATCTTTATCATTTGTCCCTCATATAAATTAGATAATCTCGGCAGCTAACAAATATATGAAAAGTTGACTATATCTCAAAAACTGTTCTTCTTTTCTAATTTTTTAGGACAATTTTACATTGAAATTGACTGCTAAATGTCCGGAATACAAATTGCTGTTGAGAATGCTGTGGCTGTGCTGTTTTTTCGCTATAATAATTAGTTATTTTTAATTAATTCAAAAATCGATCGATTTTTTGTTTTGACAGGTTTTTAGTTTTAATCAAATTATTTGAGAACCGCATATTTGTTCCCCAATTTTAAAATGTTATTTCAATATTTTTTTTCAGATTTTCTTGTAAAAGTGACGAAAATTCTTCAAACTACACCACTGTTCCTATAAAACTCTGCATTTTAATTAATGCATTATTGCAAATAATCTAATTATATTTTATAATTATTTGAACGAATTTTTAATAATTCATTAGAGTTTCTTCTTTTTGCGATAATAAATCTATTTTATTATTATTACTATTAAATTTAAATTGGGCAAAAGTAAAAAAGAGCGTAAACGTTTAAAACTTTGTTTGATTACATAAAGCGCTAAAAATAACTTTTTTTAGATAACGCAAAATTTTATCAATACACTTATTTTAAATAAATTTAAAACCTCAAACGACCGTGTTGTGACTACACAGTGAACTCGATGTTCGTGCGTCACAGAGAAACTTAATTGCGATGGCTAATCACCTGCTTTTCTAAAGTTTATTTTAATATGGACACAATATGTAAAAAAAAGAAATTCTAGAATGTCGAATAAAAACGTAATTAAAATTAAAAAATAAATAAACCGGTTTAATTAAGTAAAAAACTGTATAATGGGCTAAAATTTTGAGAGAATTTTGTGATAAAATTTTATGTTTCATTTAAAAGAATTGATGTACAGGGTGATCCCCTACAATGTCGCCCCCCTTTAACTTTTTTCACAAAAAATTTAAAAGTGTGGTTATGTAGGTACTAAAAAAACTTTTTTCTACGTATAAAGAAAATTGGAAAATTGATCTGTATACAGGGAAAAAGTTATTTCATATAACATACCATATACCTAAATTCAACCGTTTCTGAAATAGTTAAATTATTTTTAAAATAATAAGTTGAAATAGTTTGTCTTTCTCTATCTGAGTACTCATTTTTGTTTTATTTACTACACTTTAGTAATTTGTTTTCAATAAAAATTTTGGTTTACTGAGGCTTCTTGATTTCTAACAGTTTAATTCAACATTTAATGATAACATTTTGAATGCGAATATTTCAGAAACGGTTGAATTTACGTATATGGTTTGTTATATGAATTATGCCCAGAATTTTACAAGGAATCGAAAAATAAATTTATATATAGGGTGATCCATTGAAAAAAAATAAACTTTTTGTTTTTCCTTGTATATTGATCAATTTTCCATTTTTTTATACGTAGAAAAATTTTATTTTTTACTACCTACATAACCACACTTTTGGTACATTTAAAATAAAAAAGTTAAAGGGGGGCGACATTATAGGGGATCACTCTGTACCTTTATTGTACTTTATAATTAAAGTTTGTGTAATATAGGTAGTAAAAAAATAAATTAATTCAAAATAGAAAACCAGCTATTTTAATTATTATATTAAATACACTCATAGGCAAAATAATCGATCCACACAAAGTTTCGATGAATTTCAATCGCAAATAACTTTTTTATTTGATTTCAGATTTAAACAAATATTAAGGAATATTGTAGATACATTAATGAAGAATCGCTCACATTTTAAAAATTATATACAGTATATATATATATATATATATATATATACAGGTTTAAACAAAAAGATGTTTTTTAGTTTAAAACACTCTGTAGAGTGGCAAAACCGTATATTGTTCTAAATTAAGTTTTAATTATCAAGTCGCATCTATTTTGAACAGTTTTGTTTTTGGTTCACCTTGATATATTTATTTTTGTGGAAAATATGGATTTTTTTAAAAAAACATTGCAATTTCCAATATTTTTCCTGTATGAAGAACTAAGGTTGCTATAGCCTATGGAGGATGACAGTGACAGTTTTGTTGAATCATCCCATACTTGGACATGTCATATACATCTTTCAAAAGTTATCAAATTGTTTTTTGTAAATTAATGTGTTAATTTTGAAGTGTCTTCATACTTTTAAAAATGTCTCCGACTGATGTTGCCCTTTGTACTTTACTTCTTGTGACGTTTAAAACACTTGCCACGTAATACTGTGACCGTCCATCCTGGATTAAATTAATGGCTCTGGCAACATCAGTCGGAGATATATCCATTTTTTAAAGTAAGAAGACACCTCAAAATTTAAACATTAATTTGCAAAAAACAATTTGATAGCTTTTGAAAGCCGTGTATGACATGTCCAAATATGGGATGATTCAACAAAACTGTTACTGTCATTCTCCATAGCCTATGGATGGACCATAGCAACCTTAGTTCTTCATACAGAAAAATATTGGAAATTGCAATGTTTTTTTAAAAAATCCATATTTTCTACAAAAATAAAACTATTAAGAAAAGATGTGACTTCATAAATAAAAGTTAATTTAGAACAATATACGGTTTTGCTACTCTACATAGTGTCTTAAACTTATGGTAAAAAACATATTTTTGTTTAAACCTGTATATTATAAACGTACGTATATTTTTTATTAATTTTTTAAAATGTGAGCGATTGTCCATTAATTTATCTACAATATTCTTTAATATTCGTTTAAATCCGACATCAAATAAACAAGTTATTTGCGATTGAAATTAATCGAAAATTTGTGTGGATCAATTATTTTGCATGTGAGTGTATAAATTTTATATATACAAATAATAATTGGGGTTAACTTAGAAATAATATATATTATCAAAAATCCATAAGGTGAAAGTTTAGCCGTTTTATGTTTGCTCTGATTCCAAAGTTCTTTCTACTGACGTACTACTGTTTCTATGATATTAAATAATATTTAGTTTATAAAATACAAAGACACTTTATGGAATTAAATAATATGTGCGATTCTAGACAAAACAAACTTTAATTAAAACATAATTTCTTAGTTTTTTTGCAGTTTTGACGGTACGTCAATAACTAGGTATAAATAATAATAATTATATTCTATTATTGTATTTGCACAAAAATAAACAAATTAAAATTATTGTTAATGAAAAGGACATTTAAAATTTTCCAAATAGCACCTGTATCCATTGCTATGTAAACTGTACAGCCTTGATGGAAAATTAGGGCAAACAAATAAATGTATTGCACTTGTGTACCTATACATAAATTTACAAAATAACACACGAAATCTAGAATATAAACATGTTTAAAATTGACAAACAATAGTATAGTGCAAAATGAACATGATTAATGTCTAAACTTCATTTATGTTTGTTATTAGTTTTCGAGTTTATTTAAGCATGCAATTTTAACCACTTATTTACTTTTTTAATGACATTTTAAATTTGTTTTTTAAAATAGTACTAGGGTAAAGTAGGCAGTTATCGGACACTTTATAGCAGCAGGGCTGTGTTTAAATTACAATAAAATATATTTCTAAAAAGTGTACATTGCCACTTTAATGCGTTTTAATTTTAATTCTGAAAAGAAACAGTAAAATGGCCAATGTCCAATTACTGGTAGGTATAAAATGTAAATTTTTATTATTTGACATATGTCCAATATCACACTCTATTTATATACCGGACATTTACCTGCCAATTCTTCTGTAAAATTGTCCCCTGAATCCGAAAAGACCCTCAAAAACTATAAAAGTTAAGCAGTTTTTGAGATATAGTCAATTCCATATTATATGTAAAATTGATTATATTTCAAAAACTGTTCTACTTTTATAACTTTTGACGAAATTTTCGGATTCAGCTAATAATATTTCATAGGAATTGACTGCTAAATGTCCTAGATACAAATTACAAACTTTTTCCCTATGACATTTTTGACCAATTCATTTTAGAGAGTAAGTAATATAGTGATTTTTTCGTCACAGGACATCTTGCAGAATAACAGTGATTTAAATACAGTACATGATAGAAAACATAAACAAAATTAATAAATTCGGAAAATACTTTTAACATACCACAAACTAGAGATACACCACTTAATGATATTTGCAACAAACTATTTCAGAAGTCAGACCAAGGAATTAGAAGTTACCTTCAGAATCCAGAAAAGGGATGAGGAATCCGAGAAAGAAATATATGAAATTTACAAAAACGAAATAAAAAAATTACCAAAACAGCAATTTATCTTTAAAAAATATTTAACTATTATGTTATTTGATGTAAAGTTGTTATGTTTATATAAAAATTGTATGTCCAATACTATAGTCCATACTCACTTAAGAGAAGGATTAGAGCTTTTCAAAATAACAAATCGCATCACATTTTTTGTTCTCTATAAAATTTGTTTTGACAATTTTTTTAATAAAATTTGCTAGGATAAATTTTGGTTGTGTACATTGTCATTATACATACTATTAAGGCTCTTTGCCATTTGTCAGTTGTCCTCAACATTTATTATTAAAAAAAAAATCAATTGAGACACATAATATAGAACTAAATTTATAAATAAGAACTTAAAATAACAAAAATGAATTAGAAATTAGAAAATTTTTCAATTAAATATAAAAATATTTTTAATGTCCCCATCATCAAAACTTGGATATATTTCATAAAAACAAGATATTAAAATTTAAGATTATCTTTATTAAGATTATTAAAGTTTATTATTTTTATAAAATACACTGGAGTTTAGCATTACATATAAAAGAACTCTGTAACCCATGTAGTTTATAACTGTGGCAAGAGATGGCGCCGCAGGCAATGGTATCGCTATTGTTATTTTGCGCGTTACAAACAAGCAGCGCGTGTTTTTGAAGGTTATCTTTCGTCACGGCATTTATTCAGTAAGTATTTGCAGTATTTAATTTTATTTTTCTTGTAAAGTAAACCAATTTTGTATTGTAAAAAATGTCTCCTTCGTCATAAGAAACTATATAAGCGAAACTTTATTGCTGAGAGTAACATTAGAATTACCTTTGAAGATATTTATTTTTTAGAGGTAGGTGTATCATAACAATATTTGAGGTTATTATTTAAAAACACAAATTTAATAATCATATTCTATTTTTTTTTAATAAAAATATTTACAACAGTGTATTATGGAAAGCCCACAAATCAAGTAAAATCTACCTTCGAAGTTTTTGTTTCTGGAACATCGGAATCCCATTCTGAACTCAAGTCATCGCTGGAAGCATCGCCGTAATCATTGGAAAGCGGAACCTCCAGCAAACTTTTTTGGTACTGCTCGTAACCGTACGTCATGGAACCTCTTCTGGAGTTGGGACTGCTGGGACTCGGGGTCCTGAATCCACTACCTCTCCGACTCAACCTTGGCGATGTATCGGACATTGGACTAGGCGACCTGGATGGCGACCGATTCGGATGGAGATTCCCCTCTGAAATATTCGTCGCTATTTTTTTCGTGAACTTAATATGACGAAAAACTAGCTTTATTTCAGCGTTTTATGCCCGTATGCACCGTTTTAAAGCCTAAGCCTAGTTAGCAAATCGCGATTATGTTAATCTTTCTCCATCATAATGCACCGTACGCGGATTGTGCAATCTGGATTGGCGATTCGGCAAAGCTGTTTTGTTTGTCAAAAAACCACAAAAAACTGTCAATCGTAAATTTAAATCGATTGACAACCATAGATAAACAAACTATGCTGACAAACTAAAATTTAAATGCCTAATATACAGAGCTGTCAGAAAAAAGTATCTTAGTTACTTTAGAGTAACTTAGTTACTTTAAAGTATCTAAGTTACTGTATCTTAGTTCCTTTATTTTTTTAACAAAAAGTATCTAGTATCTTAGATACTTTTTAAAAGGAACTGTATCTTGTAACTTAAAAAAAGTATCTTAGATACCGAAAAGTATCTTAGATACCAAAAAGTAACTTAGATACCAAAAAGTATCTAAGATACCACAAGAAAAGTTCCTTTAGTCAAGTTGTTCGAAACGGCCGCGGCCATCGAAGTTATTATAATAAGTATACTGGCGACTTCAGCGACTGGCGCCAATCGACTGGCGGCGATTTTTGTTATACCTACTTAATTTTTATTCACCTATACTTCTTTTATAATCTGTGACTTCGCCACCCGCTCTGTAGAAGGGTGTTTTCGTTCGTTGCGACTTGAATTTATAGTGGTAAGTCTGAAATAAGTTAGGCTGGGTAAGTACTTGCACTTGCTTCTTTATGATGTACTGATGTAGGATATTGGTTGTTACATTGTACCGTACATTCTATAATGTTCAATGTATGTTTTCCATTTTAAATTTAAAAAAAATGTTAAAAAAGATTAAATGAAAAGTGTGAGATAATTTTTTTATTTTTATAATTAAGTGGTGTTTAATTAACGATTTTATCACTTTTTATTTTTAAGATATTTTAAAAGTGCCTAAGTTAGAAACTTTTTGCATAAGACCCTTCAATGGTTTTAATCAACTAGATTTTATTGAAAAAAATTGTTAAAAAAGTAAGCTTAAAATTATTTGAAAAATCAGGGTGGGGTTGGAACGAATTGTTGTTGGGCGAAACTTATTACATAATATACAAAGTAACTAAAAAAGTATCTTATTAAGTATCTTAAAAAGTAACTTAAGATAAGTATTTAAGTTCCTTTTTTTAAAGAGTAACTAGATACCCAAAGTAACTTCGGATACTTTTTCAAAAAGTAACTTATCTTGTATCTAGATACTTTTTAAAAGTATCTTTGACAGCTCTGCTAATATACAATAACTTTTATATGGAAATTTCCTTCGTCTGTCTATAAAATGGGAGACCAGAATTCCTAACTTTTCACCAGCGGAAAAAGAAAATCTAATGATGATTGTTATGAGGTATTCTAAAATATTGGAAGACAAAAAAAAACTAACAGAACTGGGCTTCAATTTTCAATTGCATTAAGAAAGTTTAGAACGGTGGGTAGTAATGTCAATCGAAATCGGCGAAAAAACGAAAAATTTTCCATGGTGTCAGAATATTCGCTCCTTTAATAATTTTGTCGCGGAAATACAAAATTAATTATGTCCAGAATATCTTGATCATCTTCTACAAATACAGTAGTTCTTCTAAATCCATTATTTAATTATATTTTTTACTATTTCTACTATTACTAGTTTTTGAAATCTACTTTTGACGTTTGGAACTAAAAATTTGGTTAGAAAATCAGTTAATCCTGCGATTAAACCTACCTCGTAATCAAACACTTAAACTACATTTTTTGCGCGGTGCATGATAAATTTTTTAACTAAGCGAGATTAAACTCCTATTCGAGATTAAGTCCATACGGTGCATACGGGCATTAAAGTGGTCAAAAATACAAGCTAATTTCTTTGACTTCTTAACAATTTGTTCAATGGCATATTATCTCAACGAACAACAAATTGCATACTAATAATGATATTGCCTGCGAAACAGTTAAAAATGTAATGTTTACAATTACCTTTTTATTGTATAATTCAGATAACCTATTATCTAACATGCGCGTTTGACATTATTAAACTTATAAGGCATACAATTGAATTGTAAAATAGCATCGATGACACAGATAGATAAATCCAGTTGAGTTGTTTATTTATATTCGTGTAAATAATAACAAATTGTTAATGTTTAAATAAAATTGACAGGATTTATCAGATATAATTTATCAGATATGATGCTTAAGAATACAAAATATCCGGAATTTGAACTTAATAAAATAAAATATGGAGTCACATTTCTAGATTAAAATACCACAGCTAACACTAATATTTACGTATACGTATACGTATTTAAATTTTATTTTTATTTTGCTAGGCCTAGACTAATACTAAAATGCGTAAATTATTTTTTCTACTCCCACCTTTAAAACGCCCTTTATCGTACATGTTTCCATGACACTAAGTGACCTTTTAAATACACATTGACAAGTTGTGGCTTTACGGCGCTTTAGTCACGGGCTGAAGTTAGCAACAGGTTTTTAGTCACGGACTGAAGTTAGTTTTCAGTAAGTTGACAGTTGTCAAATGTCATACAATCGTTAAAATAAAGTGCCTTTCTTGTAAAATAATACTAAATGTGAAAATTATTTTTTTATCTCAATACAAAATAAATAAAAGTATTTAATAATTTCTTGACGCCAATATTTGAAAAGATTATATGAACGTTTGTAACGACCTTTTGATTTCGCCGTAGTTGTGCAGTTGACTAGATTTAACTGATAAAGCGATAAAAAAATTGCATACAGTGCCCATAAAACATTCTCTTCACTTTTACTGTGAAAAACTGCTTCTATATTGATATATTAGTTAGTTTATTTTCAGGGAATAAATTTTGATTTACCCAGAAAAATTTGAGATTTTAACGCCGGTAGATTCCCAAAATAAAAATTCCTTTACCTTACATTTAACATTTCCCGTGTAAGATTTTTAATACTGTGATAATATTTTGCAATTATAGTGATAAAAAAATCAAAGGATAAAATATTTTTATTATCATCATATTATCATATTTTAAAGTTATTTTTATATTTTATCAATAATTGTTAAGTTTAATTAAAATAATAACAGGCAATGTTAATGGCGAAACTTTCGTCAAAAATGTTTATTGGGATGGTTACTTTATTTTCGTATAGAAGTCGCTTTATACAAATACAAAATTTAAATTATTTTTTAGGTAATAAATATTTGTCGTCGAAAATTCGTGACTAAAATGTCGTTTATCAAAATTGATACATAATATTCACTGAGGGAAGTGAAAAATTGTACATCCTCAAAAATGACTCATAAAAATAAAAATTTTGCGATTTCAAACTTTGCCTTATGAATCATGTTTACGCACGATCACAGTGACAATAAAAATTACAATTCACGAAAATGTAAATAAAAACTGCATATTTACATACAAACATACATATGCTGATTTTTTAATTTATAAATGTATACACGTAATTAAAAATCACTACAAGTTTCTCAAATTAAAAATTATCTAGTCGGTAAAAAATTTTCGGAAATTTACGTTTGACGCGCGTTTTATTATAATTTAAAGTAAACATTTATTAAAAGGCGGCCAATTATTTTCACACATTTTTGCAATTAACAATCTACTCATTAAACTTAATTACCAGTAAAATGGGTGCCTAATTAATGGACTTTTGCTAAATAGGTGGAAACTTGTTGTTTTAATATGTAATTTTGCATAATTTTAATTTTTTGTAGAACAAAAATAAATGGCATATCGAACTCATGTATTTCCATTGTAAAAATAATACATTTTCATGTAAAGTAAACCAATTTATCTCTTTTTAATTAATGTTTGTCACTTGGAAAATACATTTTTTATTATGAAAAATGTTTCCTTCGTCACATGTCTTTTTTCATACTACACTGCTATCGCTACGACATTAAAACTTAAAAATAAGTCACAATGGATATGACTATGTGAAATATTTATTTTTTAGAGGAAGATGGGGCTAAAAAGCATAATGATCCTTACGAATCACGAATCGAGTCCTTTGTGAAGAATGAGTTCAGAAGGAGAAAAAAACCGAGGTGAAGGCAGAAAACTGAGCTGTGACTAATGTTTTAAAAAATGGTAATCAAACATTGTGTAAATATTGTGGTATACCAGTAAGCTCAAAAGTCGAAAGAATACACAATCGTTTAAACAAAGAGAAGACTAAAAATGACAATAATGATGGTCAACCCTATCTTTATGATGAAAATGCTTATGCTAGCGGCTGTACATCACAGCCTTTACAGGACTTACAGAGCAACCAAAGAGTAAAAAGATGAAACCATCTCTTATAACTGAATTTGTGGTTTCTACACCAAAAGAACTCAAAGAATTAATCAATGCAGCAGTTGCAAAGTTTTTTTTACAAACCTCCAAATAGAAAAGATTTACCTGCTAGATGAAGCTGCTGAAAAAGTTGATCAGATAATTGAAGATATTTCTCAGGCCAATTACTGTTTACAAAGATGGCTGGTCGTGTGAATAATGATCCCATCTTGGCCACCTCAATTCGTTCATATTTAGTATCAGCAGAAGATTGTGGAGGAGAAGAAAATACTGAATATTGCACGGAAATTCCTGGGGCCAGCATTAAAAAATGCGAACAAAAATTTGGCAAAAAAGTTTTTGCCTTTGTAAAGACAACAAGAATAAAATGGTCAAAATGAGGAAAAACATTTCTAAAATATTTCCTTCTGTTCTTACTTATGATTGCTCTTCACACTACCTAAGCTTGGTAGAAAAAGCAGTTACACCAAACAGTGTAATTACAAAAACAATTACAAAGTGTGGGTAGTAGCTTGGATGCATTACAAAAGCGATAATGTCGAAGCAGTTGACATCTGGATAAATCTTCTAAATGATAAGAATTTAGAAATATACAAATCCGAAATAATAAAACGCTTTAATCAAGCTATAATGCCTTTCCATTTCTTAGCTTACCTGTTGAACCCAACATTTTTTGGGGGAAAATTAACTCTAACACGGGAAGAAACACCAGAAACGTGTCTACAGGAAAATTTTCCAAACTATCTAACAGATGTGTTATCATTTAAGATTAAAGACGGTAAAATTTCCAGTCTATATGTTTAAAAAGAAACTGTTGAAAATTTGGAAGCTAATAAGTGTTGGTTGGTTATGCACCAGAAATCTTTTAAAATGCGTAAAAATAGTAATGATTGCAGTCCAGAATTTTGCCTTTTTGTTTCGCAGCTTTTAAGCATCCCAGCTAGTTCAGCTGCAATTTAACGAATCTTCTCAACTTTGGGTCATGTTTGGTCAAAACTTAGAAACAGGCTAAAGCCAAAAAAAGTTGAAAAATTGGTAACAATTTATCGTCACTACAACAATGGCAGCATTGATGATAATTTATGAGACTGAAGACTCTTTACTGAAGAGTGAAGATTAAGTATCTCCACTTCTTGTTTTTAGGTTTTTTATTATTGATCTCGGCATTTGTTTAGTCATTTTATCGTTTTTATTGTAATATATTATTTTTATTTAGAAAATGTTTCTATTTTTCAATACAAGTTTTAATTTTTAGTGGAATTTTATTAAATTACAAGGAACTATTTAGATCTAGCGAGCTTTCAAGGTCATGCAATGTTCGTACCCCTTGAAAGTACACTATAGTAAATAAATGTATTCAAAAAAGCCCACCAAAACAATTTTAACAATTAACAACAATTAAAAAATGTTTATTGTTAAAATTGTTTGATGTTTTTTTTTGCTTAAATGCATCTACTATAAATAGGTTTAATTATCTTTTGATACTAAACATAAAATGAAAGTGTTATAAATTTATGGACACGAATATTTTGGTTTTTATTAAGAATATATTCGGAAAAAACACAATGTTACTTTTAATAACATGCAGGGAGGCTTTAGAAGCGGGACTACATGCCCACGCGCCTTTTTACAGCCAATCACATCACCACCTTGTGGTTAGGTAATGCTTATTTTTTTATTTGATTTGTCCTTAATAATAAGTTTTATTTTTTATAAAAATAATAAAAAACGTCATAACTTTAGTTATGTACAATTATTTAACTTTACTATACATTTAAAATCAACCGGAAAGAGGTATCAATTAATATTATTATCGCAGCGTAGTATGGTGCATTAAATACTATATCTATAGTTGTCACAATTATTGCCAATTAAAAAACATTTTAAATTTTGTCTAAAAGTAACTTTGGACAATTTAATATAGGTATGTGTAAATAAAATTTATGTTAACTTTTTAACAAACAATATAATTAACTCGTTATTTTTACACACGCTTGAAAATAATGTTTTTTTAATAATAATTATTATTAGCAATATGCAAAATTTCCTAAAAGTTTTGATAACACTAACTGTGAATGCGTCAGAATATCAGTGTCACATTTGCTGTGGTATTTTAATCGAGTTATTGTTATTACAACAAAAACATTATTTAACATTATTACCGTTGTTAAATGTGGGCCTTTCGTCGGGGTCGAATATACAGGGTGAGGGGGAGCACGTTATTTCCGGGGAGTTGGGAAAAAACCGGCACTGCTGGGTATCGGGAATCTGGATCTTATCCATCGTCCTCTTTTTCACTAACTGATTCTTATCACAATCACTTGGCACTGTACTGTCCGCAAGAAAATGTCGCTCATCCATGATTATCTTCGGTATTATGAACTGTGAACAGTACAGGGTGTTTTCAAGTTGAGGCATGGTCTATTCACATTTTTTATTTCAACACTTTTTTTACACTGAAAACTTCACACCGATACATCGCGCTTTATAAAACTTTCTTCGTATCTTTTGAACGCGGCTAGACGGAACACTATAGTAGGCTGGGTTTAAGTAAAACATGTGAAGTTCGAATTTAACTGACGTACGACGCCGGTCCAGTGCGCATGCGCAAGCAAGTCAATCCTCTCAGCGCACGGTGTGCAGCATTTCCAAGAAAGTCTAGATTTGGTAGGTAAAATACCAAAATAATTGTTATTTTTACAGTAAAGGTAGTAGATTACTCCCAACACAGGTATATGTATATTTAATATACATTATGTCTGGAAACTAAATAGACACACAGCTTTCTAACTGACTGTCTTTGAGTATAGGAAAAAATCTTTTACGAGGGTATTTCAAATTAAGAACCTTGTTAAAAAAAATACCTATAGTGTTATTTATATTCCAAAAATAAACTGACAGATAGATAACTCCAATTGATTGTATTCAAATGTCCTAGTAGCATCGCATTTATTGATTATCATGCGGAATATCTTGAAAAAAAAAATTGCCTACATATTCTAGACATGTTGCTGGAAAAAATATTCGTCCCAACGTGTTACGTCAACTCTGAATGGGAAAAGGTATCTTAACCACTTGCTTTACGCAGTGACGTGCCCACAGATTAATTGCGGGGTTTTAATATATATAATATTAGTAACGTTGTTACCACAAATGTTTTGGCACCCTAATTTTATTGAATTTGTTATCAGGTTTAAGCGTAAACTATTTAAATAAACTACGCTTGTTTTAAATATAGAATTTAGTTTATTGTGTGGATGGTTAACCAAAAAATAGTAGGTTGTTATCACTACATAATAATTATAAAATAGAAAAATATTCAAATGATTAAAACAATATATTAACAGTACAACTGCACCTACAGAAGGTTATGGTGTTATTAACACAAATACAATTAATTAAATTATTGTTTACTGGTATAAATTATTACATAAAAATACAATTTTGTAATTTTGTAATCAAGACTTCATAAAAACATGCAAGTGGATAAAGATAAAAGGCTTATATATATATAACTTTCAAAAATATACATTATATTCTTAGATCAAAATATAATAGTCAATAGTCAATATAATATTACCTATTAAATAAATAAAGTAAAAAAAAAATACATTTTTCTTTCTACTTTTAACAAACACTATTCTTGTTATTTCAAACAAGGTTTTTTCTTACTTTTTTACCCTTCTGAAGCTACTCCCAAAGTTTCAGACTTTTAAATTTATTTTTAACCTGAGCCCCTTTAAAAAAAACAAACAAATTTCTTAAAAGGAAGAAAAAAACAATTTTTGTTTTTGGAAAATGATATGATGGCATCAATTATAAAAAATATTAAGTCAAAGATGCATCCCGCTTTATATTATTTTGTGTTATATTATTTTTTCAAAACAGAATCAAATATTTTTGGTTTACTGTGAAAATATTGAATTAATAGTAAATACATATAAGATGCATAGGCGCTAAAATGATTAAATGAAGTTAATAAATAAATAAATAAACTATCAGTCTATTTATAATTTTACATTAGAGGTGGGTATGTGGTATAAGGTGAATGAATAAACATAAAAAATGTATATAAAATTAAAAATAGACTTAATAAGTTATAATTATAATTTTAGACTTTGATAAAATGAGGTTTCATCGGACTTTCACAAAACTGATATGACATCAATGGGGTGAATATTTTTTTCCATAATTTCTGCAAAACTTGAAAATGATTTTACAGTTTTTTTTATTTCCCCATACAATAATATTGTAATATATTGATACGAGTAATCAATTGACGTAAGTCGATTATCGGAATTTTAAACAAATTCTTATTGGACAGACTTCAAGAGAAAAGCATCCTTGTTATCACATAACGGATTGTAAATGATCATCATTAATCTCTTCTCATTTAATAATAGCAACAGTAACATGCATTAAGCGCATGTGGTCAATTAAAGTTCCACAAGCAAGCTGGAACTATATTTTAATGAACACAAAGTCTGTTTTTATATTTTAAACATATTTGAGTTAAGTTTACTTGGTGTTTTAATTTGTTTGTTGTAATTACGCAGGAGGCTCGTGTTCAATTTCCGGTAACGGAATATTTTTTTATTTCTTAAGAATATTCCTTTTATATTTGTTTTATTGTCAAATTAACTTAATACTTAATGTGGAACTACTCTCTAAAAATGAATTAGTCAAAAATGACTAATTTAATAGTTATTAGTGGCTGCTTTTTCACTTGTACCATGGAATACCATGGTATCACAAAATTTAACAGCCAATTCTTATGTAAAATTGTCCCCTGAATCCAAAAATGTCGTCAAAAGTTAAAAAAGTAGAACAGTTTTTGAGATATAGTCAATTTTGCATTTAATATGGAATTTACTATATCTAAAAAACTGCTCCACTTTCATAATTTTTGACGGTATTTTCGTATTCAGAGGACAATTTTGTGATACCATGGTATTCCATGGTTAACCATGGTAAAAGTGGAAAAGCAGCCACTAATAACTATTAAATTAGTCATTTTTGACTAATTCATTTTTAAAGAGTACTTTCTTTAAATTTCTCTAAAAAAATTTCCAGTCAAAGAAGTATCTAGCTAGTGGCGCCATTATCGTAACAAAACTGTATAAGTAGCTGTCAAAAGTGTTTTTGAAAATAGTGCCGGATAATGTTAAAAATATCGAAAATATAATATAATATTGATTATGTGAAAATTGTAAACATATAAATTCAGTAAAAATCATAAAACAAATTATTAAAAGCGTTGATTAAGAAAGTCTTCAATTAACGGTAAAGGACCAAAAACGGGTATTATATTATGTATACTTATATAATATTATGTTGTCATGAATACGTACAAAAAATTATTTTTAAACCATACCTTTCGGAAGAAAAATATAGTTTGTTTAAAATATTTATTTATTTACAATTACGGTACTAGACAAAATAATGATTTTTATTTTGAAAATTTTAACAAAGTGCGTACTACAAAAAGTGTTTTTGTTAATGGGCAAAAATTATTTAACAATTTACCAAATGTAATTAAAAACTGTGATACTTAAATTCGTTTTAAGAAATATATTCTATCTTATGTAAAAGAAAAAATTGACCTGTGATATTTCTGATGTTATTACTAATATTTTTATATGTATAATGATGAGAAATTGTAAATAGATTATGCTAAAAATAAAGATATTTATTAAATTTATTTATTTATTATTATTTATCCAGACTTATGTAAATGTACATTTTAAATTTGATCTTTAAAAGCAATAACAATACTTGACATATTAATCCGCAAAAATCATTACCTTGATTGCAGTAATTAATAACTATAAATTTATTCTTTCTCTCATAGATATAATTTAAATAAATAGGTTTTGATTACTGTTAGAATTTATGGAAAACGATATTTGAATAATTAATAACATTTAATAATTATACTTACTTGCAAAAGCCTGTAGTGTATTGTTATAAATAATTTATTGCAGGTTTATTATTTAATTATTTAACTATTATTTCCCTTATTTTAGACTTTAATTTAATATACTCTCTAGAAATTAAATAGTCAAAATTCTACTATTTAAATAAGAATTTTACTTTTAAATAGTTAAAGTTTGACTAATTTAAGATTAGTCACCATCTTTGACTATTTCTGAGAGTTAAAAGTAACTAATTTCTTTAATCGTTTGCGGCCAACAACAAAGTATTATTTGAATTAAATGCATATACCTAAGCTCCATGGTTAAATGACCCATAAAAACAAACAAATATGCACAAAGTTTAGCTCAATACAGCAACAAAAATAATATATTCAACTTTAAAATATTATGAACAATATTTATTGACAAATAAAATTGATTTTTATAAGAGCGGCTGATAGCCGAATGGGTTATGACAACAGCTTGACAAGTGACAGACCTGAGTTCAATACCCGGCTGGGTCAAAACTTTTTTTAAATTTAAATCTACTAATTTGACTATTTCGTTCAGTAGAATTTGACTAATTATTAGTGACTGATTTTTCGCTATGACAATTAGTCAAATATGACTTATAATTAGTTATTTTTGACTAATTCATTTTAAAAGAGTGGAATTCCTCCAATCGCACCGTTTAATAAAAATTAAATCCGACTAATTAAAACATGTTTGGCGTCCTAAAATTTAATTACTTTTTTGTAGACGACGAGTCGCATATGACTTTCTTAAAAAGATTCGGGTCGATCGGTCATTGCCATCGTAAATTTCAAATCGAGATTATATTGAATTGCAGAGATTATATTATTATTGATAGCGATGTTGCACAAAAAATGATTTATCGCCTGTTTGGAAGTTAATGCGAGTTATAGGCTTTACGATTTATTAAATGATGAACATGGAACCCACATTAACAGCTTTGATGTTACTTTTTATACGTATATACTTACGTCTATAATTTTGTTTGAAACCCACCTGTAACAAAAAAAAATAGGTTTAATATATATTTGACATTTGTTTATGGTGTCAAAAATCTGGGTCATTTCATCGGTGACATAAGGATTTTTTGCCAAAATTATATCACAACGACAAATCGCTTGCGATTAGTGAAAGCCTAACCGCTACAAAATGCAATACCTATTTTTACAATAACCATAAAAACAAAAACTGTAACACAAAATAATATAAAAGCTTGCCATGGTGCCGGACAAGCAGTATCAAATCATCTGTGTCTGCAATCACAATGAGAAGCTACAAGGGACTTTGCGTCCTTGGATTGATAGTGGCCGTTGGGTTGTGTTTGGTGCAAGCGAGAGAAATCTCCAGGCAAACTAGAGATGTCGAGGACTTAGAGACCGCCGCGTCGCATCACAAGCACTCGCATAAAAAGGGCGGCGGCAAGGAACACCATTCGGAACACCATTCAAGTCACGGCGATAAGGGGGATAAAGGCTACAAAGGGCATCATCACCACGAGAAGGGTGAAAAGGGGCACCACGACAAAGAAGGGCACAAGAAACATTACGAGGAACACGGTGGACACAAGAAGAAACACCACCACGACGATGGGTACCATGCTGAGCACCACAAAGGCGAGAAAGGCGAGAAGGGTCATAAACACGGCGAAAAGGGATCATACAAAAAGGGACACAGCACCAAAGGTAAGCGCATTTGTACAAAATCAACATTTATAACTACAACTATCGCTTCTAGGGGGTCACGACGTTCACAAGCTAGACGAGTACAAAAAAGAGAAGCACTTCTTCGACGAGGACCACGACTCGGGCCACCACGAGACGCACGGAGGTTTCCACCACGAGAGCGGTTACAAGAAGGGCGGGCACAAGAAGGGCGGCCACAAGAAGGGGGGACACCATGAAGACCACTACGGCAAGAAGGGCCACAAAGAGGATGGCGGGCATTACCACGAAGACAAGGGTCACAAAGACGCCGGGGGTCACGATGAACATTGGCATCACGATTCGAAGTATGGAAAGAAGGGCGGTCATGAGGGGCATAAGAAATGGGGCTACAAGAAGGGCCACCATTGAGAAGTCTGTTGATGTTTTTATTGATTTGTTGTTATGTGTTATAGCTCTACAAATAAATACTATTAAGTAAACTACATTACTTTTAATTCAAAAAAATATTACATCAAACTAAAGTTCCTTCCACAAAGATTAATTGCAATTCCAAGATATTCGAATAACACTTAAGCAATAAAGTGTGACGAAAACAAGCTTATTTGCTATGGTTTAATAATCAAAAAATAATATTAATTTACCATCAGTGATCGATTTAGTTAATGAAAATATATCATATCAATAAAGTGAGTTAAACAATGACTCATATACACTATGATTCAAAATGCGCCTTAATTTAATATTCCACAAATATTGTATTGAAATTTTAATTCTTATTTATAAAAGAGTATGTTAGGAAATTTTTCTAAACAAAAAAAATTAAAAATTGCTACATTTTTATTAACTTTTTACAACAATTGACATTTCTGTGTTCTACATACATTATCTGAAATTCCTTTCAAGAATATTTACAATAAGTGCAAACAATATCAAACTTTGGATTTACGTTGGCTATCAAAAAACTTACGTATGAAAGTTTTTGTCATGTACAGGGTGATCCCCAATAATGTCCTCCCCCTTTAACTTTTTTATTTTAAGGGTCCAAAAAATGTAAAAGTGTGGTTATGTAGGTCCAACAAAATACTTTTTTTCTACGTATAAAAAAAATTGAAAATTGATCAATACACAGGGAAAACAAAATAAACTTTTTTTTTTTTCAATGGATCACCCTATATATGAATTTATTTTTCGATTCCTTGAAAAATTCTGAGCATAATTCATATAACAAACCATATACCTAAATTCAACTGTTTCTGAAATATTCGCATTCGAAATGTTATCATTAAATGTTTTCTAAAACTTTAGAAATCAAGAAGCCTCAGTATACCAAAATTTATATTGAAAATAAATTACTATATAGTGACATTATGTCTTGTTAAATAAATAAAAATGGCGTACTCAGACAGAGAAAGACAAACTATTTCAACTTATTACCTTAAAAATATTTTTAAATATTTGAGAAACGGTTGAATTTAGTTATATAGTATGTTATAAAAAATATGCTTGGAATTTTACAAGGAATGAAAAAATAAATACATATATAGGGTGATCCATTGAAAAAAAATTAAACTTTTTGTTTTTCCCTGTATACAATTTTCCAATTTTCTTTATACGTAGAAAAAAAGTATTTTTTAGTACCTATATAACCACTAGGGTGTGCCAAAAAACCTCGATATTTTTTTTCTTGCTCTCAACCCAAAATATCGTAGAATATGTACGAACAAATATTCTGTTAAAAGCGGAGCTCATAATTTCAATTTTAAGAGGTCCTCCATCGAATCTGAAGTTTTGCCGCTTAAATAACACAGAAAACTGACTTTTTTACCTTATTTATTCTTGCAACCTAGGAAGAAATTTTTTTTTCATAAAAATCATGACCAAATCTTACAAAGCATTAAATTTGGAAGAAAAAATCTTATTAAGCCGAATTTCTATTTTCATTATTTGATTTTTTACAGAGCTTTAAATTTAAAATTTTACGTTTTTTGCCTTTTTCAGCTAAACTATTTAAGTTAGACGAAAAAGTCAAATAGCAATTTTTTAGCTTGTCTGATTCTTAAAGTTACAGGCGTATAAAGTCATCATTTTTGTATTATTAACTTTAAATTTAAAGCTCTGTAAAAAATCAAATATTGAAAATAGAAATTCAGCTTAATAAGATTTTTTTGTCCAAATTTAATGCTTTGTAAGAATTAGTCATGGATTTTATGAAAAAAAAATTTCTTCCTAGGTTGCAAGAATAAATAAGGTAAAAAAGTCAGTTTTCTGTGTTATTTAAGCGGCAAAACTTCAGATTCGATGGAGGACCTCTTAAAATTGAAATTATGAGCTCCGCTTTTAACAGAATATTTGTTCGTACATATTCTACGATATTTTGGGTTGAGAGCAAGAAAAAAAATATCGAGGTTTTTTGGCACACCCTAGTGGTTATATAGGTACTAAAAAATACTTTTTTTCTACGTATAAAGAAAATTGGAAAATTGTATACAGGGAAAAACAAAACAGATTCGATGGAGGACCTCTTAAAATTGAAATTATGAGCTCCGCTTTTAACAGAATATTTGTTTGGAAATATTCTACGATATTTTGGGTTGAGAGCAAGAAAAAAAAAATCGAGGTTTTTTGGCACACCCTAATAACCACACTTTTAAATTTTTTGGGACAAAATAAAAAAGTGGCGACATTATAGGGGATCACCCTGTAAATTTTTGTGGTGTAACGAATTTAAGGTCAAGTTTACAAAAAAGTAATGGCGTTTACATTGTAATGGTAAAACGATGTAAATTTTCATTTTTGCTATTTAATTAGTTTTGAAATTATATTAATAATATAATATTTATAAGAATAATATTTTTACTTTTCTTAATATATTTTTTAAACATCATGAAAAAGTTTTCATATAAACAGTAAACAAATATTTATCAATTTTAACCAGATTTTATGTTATTCCAGGTCCAAATAACTTTATGTTAAGTTTACAACCAACTGTAATCTGTTAACGAATTAAATAAGTAGTTTGTAATTATAACAAACATATACCTAGTAGATTTAATAAAAAATAAAATAATAATAAAATGCTTACAAAATTGCATATTACTTTTACAAAACTTTCCGTAAAATATTTTCTTGTTAAAATAATTACAAACCCTGGTTATGTTACCAAATAAAATTAACAAACTACAAACTCATGTTAACAAATCTGATTTTTATAACAATGTACTCTTATTAATACAAACGTAAATATTATTTTTAAAAATTTTATAACATATTAATAAAAAAAAATATTAAATACAATTTATATCTAATCTATTAATATTATCGAAAACTAACATTGGGAAAGTAAACAAATCATAATATAACGCAATTCTATGATTTTAGTAACAAATTGCCAAACCCAGCAAAAAAACCTTAACAAAACCGTATAAAAGGAAACGAACTTAAGTCAAAAATAGTGTGAACCAGTGTCTCCAACATACAACAACATGGCGATTCGGAAGTCCATTTTTCTGCTGGGACTTACAGTGCTATTTGCAGTGTGTGTCGTGAAGTCCAGGGAAATCCCCAGGGGAGTTTACGATCTGGAGGAAGCAGCTTCCGGTCATGGGCACCACTGGAAAAAAGGAGGGGGTGATGAGCACCACTCCGACCACCATTCTAGTCATGGAGACAAGGGGGAGAAGGGGTACAAAGGCCACCATCACAATGAGAAGGGGGAAAAGGGACATCACGATAAGGAAGGGCACAAGAAGCACTACGAAGAACACGGTGGAAATAAAAAATCTCATCACCACGACGATGGGTACCATGCTGAGCACCACAAAGGCGAAAAGGGGGAGAAGGGGCACAAATACGAAGAACATGGTCACTACAAAAAGGGACACAGCACTAAAGGTAACCAATTTAACAAAACTTAGTATACAATGTGATTCAGGGTGATTCATTTCCGCAAAGTTTTTGTTTTCTTCGGTGCTCAAGCAAAATATTAATCTGCATATAGAAAAAAAAATTCTCAACAAGTTTGAGCTCTTAATATAAATTGTAAGTACTTACTATTTAAATTTAAAGATTTACCGTTTAAAATGCATGTAAAAAATATATATTTTTTTTCAAATTTCTAATGCTTACCCACCTTTGACAATATTGCAAATCGGTTTAATACACCTTATGGGGAATTTCACGCTCTTTAAAATTGCTTTTGATTTTTTTTTTGTAACTCGCATTGGTTCACCAGTAGGAGTAGTCAAAGGACAGTTTTTGAAAAAAATCGTTTTTTTTTTTTAATTTTTTCTAACAAACCGCAAAAAGTAGGGAGAAAAAAGGGCTGAATCATAAAAAAAAGTTATCCAACCAATATTTAATGAAATTACAGCCATTTTTATAACTGAAAACGTAAGAAATTGATAATTACCAACTCATAATGTTATTTAGATTGATTTTTTCTATTTATTATCATTATATTTCCCTACACTAAGAAGTTTTTTAAAATTATTGATTTCTCACTTATAATGAATATGAAAACACCAGATAAATTCATAAAAAAACAATAAGAAAATTGTAACGTGGATTTTGCAATTTTTCAACATTTCTGTCATATAGCAAAAAAATATAAATGAAGATTATTTAATTTTTTGAAGCGAAATTTGAAAAATGTTACATAACCTTCTGTATATTCCGATTAAAGTTTTGTTGTTTCTTTTTATGAATTTATGTGTTGTTTTCATATTCATTATGAGTGAGAAATCATAATAATTTTAAAAAAGTTCTTAGTGTAGGGAAATATAATGATAATAAATAGAAAAAATCAATCTAAATAACATTATGGGTTGGTATTTATCAATTTCTTACGTTTTCAGTTATAAAAATGGCAGTAAATTCATTAATATTGGTTGGATAACTTTTTTTATGAATCAGCCTTTTTTTCTCACTACTTTTGGCGATTTGCTCGAAGAAATAAAAAAAAACGATTTTTTTCAAAAACTGTCCTTTGACGACTGCTACTGGTGAAACAATGCGAGTTACAAAAAAAACTCAAAAGCAATTTTAAAGAGCGTGAAATTCCCCATAAGGTGTATTAAACCGATTTGCAATATTGTCAAAGGTGGGTAAGCATTAGAAATTTGAAAAAAAAAAAATATTTTTTACATGCATTTTAAACGGTAAAACTTTAAATTTAAATAGTAAGTGCTTAACATTAATATTAAGACCTCAAACTTGTTGAGAATGTTTTTTCCTATATGCAGATTAATATTTTGCTTGAGCACCGAAAAAAAACAAAAACTTTGCGGAAATGAGTCACCCTAGTATACATCTTTATTTTCTTATTTTGTTTCGTAAAGGGGGACATGATGTGCACAAGTTGGACGAGTTTAAAAAAGAAAAACACTTTTTCGACGAGGACCACGACTCGGGCTACCATGAAAAACACGGAGGATTCCACCACGAAAGCGGTTACAAAAAGGGCGGCCACGAGAAGGGCGGCCACAAAAAGGGGGGTCATCACGAGGATCACTACGGAAAGAAGGGACACAAAGAAGATGGCGGTCATTATCACGAAGACAAGGGTCATAAACATGCCGGAGGTCATGATGAACATTGGCATCATGGATCTGATTATGGCAAAAAGGGGGGCCATGAGGGACATAAGAAGTGGGGATTCTCCAAAGGGCACCACTGAGATTTTCTTTATTTTGTTGTGTTTTTATTTAGGAATAAAGTTTGAAAAATAAAAGGAATAATTTGTTAAATTGAGTCATGCGTTGTTAATCAATATTTAGTGTTAAAAACCACAAATTACTCACACCACCATTTTTTTCTCAAGTCCTAGATACAGTTGAATATTATTACTAAACCATTTGCTAACTATCGAAATCAATTTTTCAGTTCAATCAACCTGATGAAGTAAAAAAAATAGGTACGTGTCTACATCCGTTAGCGCGAGTTTATAATAGGTCAAGTTTGCATTGCGTCACTTGCATATAAAACCACTTTACTATTGCATACACTCGATGCATTGTACTAAATTACTTGCGATTACCTATGACGTCAAACGTATAATTATAAGACATTATGAGTGAAATTATATCAAATATTTTAAAATTAGGCGAAAGTAGTATATTATGTATCAATTTTTATAAACGTCACGAATTATAATTAGGAACGAACGACCTTTTGAATTTAGTTTTTTACCTATTACAAGTGTACTTTTAATACAGTTTTGCACAATAAAAAGTAAAAAATCAATTAATCATACTTTACATAAGCATACATGGTAATGGTAATGATAAACCAGCAAGAAGAATTTAAAGCCAATTTTATTTGTTTAACATTTGAAATCTGTCAAATGTCAACGGATTTAACCTCTCTTTTCCCCAATTTATAATAAAGGTAACTTCATCCCGTGACTAAAATGCTCAAAAGCCACTATTGCTAACTTCAGCCCGTGACTAAAACGCCATAAAGTCACAGTTCGTCAATGTAGGAGTACATCAAATTATTTAAAACTGTTGTCTGATCTTTTATAGTTTTTGTCTCGATTAGTAAAATTTATTATTTTTATTATTTTAGTATTATATATTGTGGTGCACACGCTACACAGGAAGAATTCGCAGTTATAATTATATAAACGCATTTTTTGAGAAGAAATAAAACTGAAAAATTTACAAAAAATAAGTAAAAACTCAATAAATACAAGTTTTATGCCCTTAAAGCTCTAATACCCTTCTGTATTTATTTACTCATCCAGCTATTAGCTTAAGCAATGATTAGAAAATTTAGTACCTACCTATTTTAAAAACTTTTGCAATTTGGGTTATGATTGCTAAAATAATACCTCCCGGGTGAAGTGGAAATTTATTCGTAAGTAATAACATAAGGGCATCTAATTTTTCCGAAAAAAATCGAAAAAACACGTTGCTAAGTAATATTTTAACAAGAAGCATGAATGCTGGTGGCAACAAAAATACGAGTCGAAGACGAGGATTTTTGCACCTGCACGAATGCATTTTGTTAAAAAATATTCCTTAGCATTGTGTTTTTTCGATTTTTTTCACAGGAAAAATTAGATGCCCGAATGGTATTTGACAAGACTATTTCATGAGTTTCAGTTAACAATTAAAATATAAATTGCAATTTTTGGTGACAACAGCTGTCAAGTTTTGCCGCGGGTAAACTCGAAAAAACTGCTGACAGGGGCTGTCATACAGTTTTTTCACTAGTAATACCACTAGAGGTCAAATTATTTCCGGAAATTTTTTCGAGCTCATGAATATTTTGAAAATTATCCCGAGTCGAAGACGAGGGATAATTTTCTAAAAATATTCATGAGGGAGAAAAAATTTCCGGATTTAATTTGACCTCGTGTGGTATTCGGTAAGAAAATTCCACACCAAATTGTGTTTAAATAATTAAAATTTATTTTTTGATTTAACTTGACCTCGACTTGATTATTTAGTTACCATGGCAACTAAGTCAACCCCAACCTAAAAGTTATTTCAGTTTTGAAGCTGTCAAGCGGCACGACGTAAAAAAATGTGAAATTGTCTGCTGTAATGATCAATCATCGTGCAATGACTTATTTACCCGCATTATTAGAGGATTGTGGTTCCTACTTGAAGAAAGAGAATTTGTTTTGAATTGTTCACGAATATTTGCATCTTAACTATTCAAAACTCAAAGTGCTAAATGGAAAAAAAGGTGAATAGAATAGTGTCTAAATATTATATATATTTCATTAGACATAGACATTTAATTTATTTCAAGTCCTGCATTTTCGCCATTAAGAAGAAAGGAGGAGTCCAATGAATATAGAAAACATCTAAACTTTGTAATGGAAATGTATCATGTAAACAAATAAAAACCAGATTGTCAAAAAAATATACTGTCATTATAAACGTCAAAAAAATTTCCAGTATAATTCGCTGTTGGGTACCCACGAGGAAAAAATTTCCACTAAAATTCAACCGTTGCCATGGTGATCTATCAAAAATACACGTTTTGATTGGTTAAAAATTACAGGTGTGGAATTTTCACCTAGAAACCATTTGTAATTCAAAATTGCGCGTTTGTGATTGGTTGAAATTAAGACGAGGGAAATAGTCGTATTTAAACAAAATTAACCTCATGTAGCCTCACTCTCCTATAAACCCATCTGCTACCAAAATATTTTTGCAAAAATGGCGAATGCGCCGGGATTAATACTTTTTAAATAATTTATTCAAAATGGTTGTTCAAGGTAGGTACCAGTAGCGAAGTAAGTAGTTCCGGATTAGTTTGAGTTTATTAAACCAGGTGCCGCTAGTGGTTATTGAATGAGATTACTTAAATATAAAGAAGCATGCTCCATCTATATGTAAACAAAGGAAACTTTTATTTTAGAAAAGGTGTTATATTTAATGTATCTTTTGCTTTTACGGATTCCACAATTTTTTAAATATCCATATCCTCTTTACACAGGGTGTTTTTTATATCCCCTGAAAATAACATTTGCATAAAAAGTTTGAAACCAATCTTTAATAATAATTATTTATTAATTTTAATTAATTTGATTTCTGAAAACTTCAATAAAGTTATCAGACTAATTATGAGTTGTCTTAATAATTAATAATACTAGAGCATCATAAATAAAGGCAGGGGTTTGTTATTACCACAATTCAAATAATACTGATTTATTTTAAAGTGACATGCTTATACGGTAAGGTAAGAATTTTTTTAATATTCACATTTTTATTTATTATCAGTTGTTATTAATCTTCAACTTTCAGGTAAAACCATGTACTTAACATGTATATAAATTATTACAATCTTAGGATTATTATTAAAGCCGCAATTTATTTTAAATTACTTTACAATTATTTTAATGGACATATGCAAGTAATATATTAATATTTAAATACTTAACAACATGTATAAATTAATAAACTACATACAAAATATTCAATTGATGTATGTTTGGAATACTGTAAGGTGGTGAATTTATTTTAGATGATGAAGTCGCATTTCGAGATATTAAAGTTTCACATGCAATTTTCCGGAATATGGCCGGAAATGCCGGAAAATAAAATTGTAAGAAAAATTTATCCATTTTTGGGGAACGCAGCTTTACTTTTTGTTTTTCTGCAAGTTTTGTGTATTTTTTCGCGTACTGTTGAAATTACGGTTTTGAAGAATTGGGATTTGTTTCCATCATCCTTGCAGTACTCGTTAATGTATTGTAATATATACGCAAAGATTTTTATATACAACACTAAAACAGTGCAAGACTTTATACGAAAACTTTTGATGAAGGAAAGAGATTTAAAGGAGATACCAGAGGAAAAAGTCAAAAATATCGTTGAAAAATACGCTGAAAAATCAAACAAATATCTTCTACTCTACATGTACTATGGTTGTTTTATATGTTTCTTATTTTTAAACATGTTCTTTTTATTTTCTTTTTATAATTCCAAACCTGGAACAACATATCCTGTTATGTTTGACATGTGGGTACCCTGGTCAGCCAAAGAAAACTACAAGCAATTTTTTCTAACAACCCTAGTATTTCTTGTAATTTCTTTACAATTAACTTGTTACTGCATTATAGCGCAATATTTTCTAATAAACGTATTCAGCTACATAACAACGGAACTAAAAGTTTTAAACCACTTTGCCTCACATGTAGAAAAGTACGCTTATGATAACAATAACTTTAACAACATGGAGGAGTCGAGAGATGATTTTCTGAACAAGTGCATCATAAGACACCAAAATATTATAAGGTAAGTTACTCTACTATTATAATCTTTATTAAAGTTGTTTTTTAGTATTGTCAAAGAGTTTAATGATAATTTTAACATCATGCTTTTTGTTGATTTTTCAACATTATCCGTACAAATGGCCATTAATATAATACAACTAACAAAGGAGACCAACGCTACAAATTATTTATTTGAAGTTTTAATATTGACCACGTATTTTATCCAGTTGTACGTTATGTATAATAATGCAGATGAAATAAGATTTGAGGTAATACTTATTTAATTTAAAAACTATAAAAATAGTATTCAGTGCCCACTAGGGTGATTTAAAAATCGAATTTTTTTTTTACTTCCGGCACTTAAAAATTGGTTCTTAGGCACCTCTAGAAAGTGTCTAAAGTGCCTAATAGGTAAAAGACCATATTTCATTATTAATCAATCAATCAAACCTTTATAGGTATAAATGCTCTACAAAAAGCGATTACTCTAACCATTTAAAAGATATTCAAGATCAATATTAGAAGAATTTATAAAATAAAAATTATTGCTTTTTTTAAACTAACAAATTTTCTAGCCACCCTAGGCAGCTACCTAGGTTTCCTGTTCGGTAAATCCGGCCCTGGCGGTACGAATTATCGAAAATCTGTATCACCATTTAATTTTTGTTGTCACTTTTATGCTGAAAAACAATGTTGGAACAAGAATTTCCAATAATATTCATCTTTTCACACTCTAATTTTTTGCCGAAATCTTTGGAAAATCTGTAGGAAAAAAATTAATAGATAAAACAGAATTGAGAATAGAGTAAACATATTTTTGACTACGATCAGGAAGAAAATAAAAATGGGGAACAAGAAAATAAAGAAGAAGAAGTGGAAGGGATAAAATTCTCCAGGTATGAATCAAAAAATGAAAATGAAGAACAAGAAAATAAAGAAGAAGAAGTGGAAGGGATGAAATTCCCCAGTAATGAATCAGATTACGGTATGTTTTGATATGAAAAAGTTTTTTAATAATAAAATTAATACAACATAAAAAATCAAACTCTCTGTGCTTTTCTACAATTCTATTTTATCTATTCAATTTTTTCCTACAGATTTTCCAAAGATTTCGGCAAAAAATTTGGTGTTGAGTGTGAAGAGATGAATATTTTGGAAAATCTTGTTCAAACATTGTTTTCCAGCAAATAAGCAAACTTAAAGTTAATTTTATCAATTACTTCTTCTAGTACATTTTACAAAATTTTTGCCAGAAGAAGTAGCAAGAAATTTTGAATATTATCGAAAAATTGAAAAAAAAAAATAATTTTACGAATATTTGGTCCCAAAAATTTAGTTTTGGGATATAGGGTGTTTACAAATTACTTTTATTTGTTCAGTAACAACATTTCCACAAAAAATCTTGATGATATAAATCGAATATATGCGAAAAAAATCTTTTTGATGACTAATTGGAAATTTATTGTACTTATAAATAAAAACCTTGTACTTAATAAATGAAAACAAAAATTTGATTTGAAAGTTTAATATCTTAGTAACCATTGAACATATTTTAGATTTAAGATATGCGTTGAATAGAAAATCAAAATTTTTAAGTTGATACTGCCTTCTTGGCAACTATCAAAAAGTGGTAAACTTGATATCATTGACAATGGTTTTTGTTCAATGTCGATACCTTTTTTCTTTTATAATATAACTGGTGGGATAAAATAATAAATATTACATTAGTATTAAATAATTAATTAATTAATTTTAGAGTGTTAAAATATGTGAAGCCATATACGATTCAGACTGGTTGGGATGGAGGGAAAATACAAAAAAGAAAATTCGAATTATTATGATTAGATCGCAAAGACCCTTGGAGATTTATATTGGTCCCATAGCTGTGGTTTCTAATGAACTAATAATGAAGGTAATGGATAATAGTGTTATTAAAATTGTAAAAAAAAGTTTTTTTTTTTAGATTCTCAAAACCGTTTATTCAATTATAGCTTTTTATAATAATATTTAAACACAAGGATCAACATAGAACTTTTTCGTCTTTTTCCACCAAACTTTTTTTATACAGGATGTTTTAAGATTGATTTATTTTTTGTTTTTAGACAAGAAGTCATTTTTGATAAAAAGTTTTAATCGTCAAAAAAGTACCATTGACATAAAACAATTTGGAATTTTATTTACAGGGTGTTCAAAAATTAGGAAAATATCAAATCGGTTTAAGAAAATTGTTTGTAATTAAAAATGAAAATGAATTAAGAATCCGGAGACATACTGTATATTTCAATTTATTGCAATATTACATAGAATATTATTAATTACACTGAGAGCAATTATCATTAAGGAATTTTTTTAATCATAGCTGAGTCATTCCAAATAAAAACACCAAATGAGGTGCGCTGCTTGATTTTTTATTTTGATAAAAAAAATTGATGATGATCTTTTAGGTATCAAATATGAAAATCCGTTGCCATTTTAATTTTTGGATTCTTTACTTTTAATCGGCACCCTTTAGAAATCTGAAATCGTGTCAATTTCTTACTCTCTTATAGTTGGCCAGAACATTTTTTCTGTGACAAATATTGAAATGATTTTAATTTTGTTTTACTGTTCAGTAAGTGTGTTTTCGATATAAGTTATTATTATCCAATTAGTTAATCTCATAAAAGAATGGTAAACCACTAAAGATTTATGATAATTTGCCAATTTTTGTGATTTTTGTCTGGCTCCTGTGCCTATTCTACTAAATCTAGAAAGTTATTTTTTTTCAGGTATCAAGTACTTATACAATAGAAAACGTAACTATTATTTTAAGTTTCTATAGACTATCATTTTCTTTATTAAAAAAAATATTGAAACTTGATAATTCTTAAAATTAATCAATTTTGCCCTCAGAAATTATTATGTTGAGGAAAAAATAAAAATCTGAAACTTTCAGGAAATGTAGTCCCCACCTTCACCTTTTCAGTCCAGTTAGTCTTGTTTTGTTATTTTTATTTCTTTAAAATATATATTAATTTTTGTAACGCCCGTTTAGTAGCGATATTGTTAGTTTTATTTATAATTTAAAAATTTAGATGGCTTTCATGTTTGGTGGAGAAGTGTCGAAACTGTCAAAAATATTTCATAAATATTATTTGTGCGTATTTCTTTGGTAAATTTTGTATAATATGTCATATTATGTTATATAGGTACAAAACTTTTTAAAATCACAATTTAAACCAAGTTAGTCTTGTTTTATTATTTTGATCCCTTTAGTAAGGCACTAAATAGTTAAAAGTTATATGTAAGTATGTATTTCAAATGTTAGTTTTGGAAAAAAATTACACAATCTAAATACTTCTTTAAATTTTAGTTTTTAGGTAACTGGTTATAATAAAACATGTTATAATAAAGGGGTTTATTTAGAATATTTTTTGGATTTTGCTTATTTTTAATAATTTAAAACTTCTCATAACTTGAATATTTTCTATGAGAAAGAGGTACAAAATTATGATATGTTCTTGCATTTTTAATTGCAATTAAATTCATGAATCTCGAACACTCCGTCATATATTACACTTGCAAACTTTTTGAAATCACAATTTAAATACGCACAAATAATATTTAGGAAATATTTTTGACAGTTCTGACATTTCTCTACCAAACATGAATTGACTAAGTCAAAGTCATCTAAATTTTAAATTATAAATGAAACTAACAATATCGCTTCTTAACTGCATTAAAAAAAATATTATATGTTTTACATAAATAACAAAACAAGACTAACTAGACTGAAAAGATGAAGGTGGGGACTACATTTCCTGAAAGTTTCAGATTTTTATTTTTTCCTCAACATAATGATTTCTGAGGGCAAAATTGGCTAATTTTAAGAATTATCAAGTTTCATTACAATATTTTTTTTAATAAAGAAAATGATAGTCTAGAAACTTAAAATAATAGTTACATTTTCTATTGTATAAGTAATTGTAAAGTAATTACGAATCAGAAGAGAACGATTATAATTTTTTTGTTATTTTTAAAGTTTCAAACAAATAAAATTGAACGATTTATTAAATAATTATAATTATAATTATTTAATAAATAGTTCAATTTTATTTGTTTGAAACTTTAAGAATAACAAAAAAATTAATAATATGTCAAAAATAAATTGATTTAGTTAATTTTCTTACTTTTAATATTAAAAAACAACCCTTTTAGGAAACAATAATAGCGTATGGCAACAGCGCGGCATGCAGCGAGATACAAGGGCATGCAGTTTGATCTACTGTGTTTTGTTCAGTAGCTCCGACGCTGTAGTAGGGAAATTTTTTTCGCCATTAACTGGAATTTAATGGATTTTAAACAATACTTAGTTTTTATTTGCAGAAATGCATTAAAACAAAAGAGCCATTTCAAGCGGATGGACGGGACAAATCACAAAACTGTTTTTATAAAAAAAATTGTAGGTAATTTATTATATAATATTTTTGCATCAAAATTGTCAAACATATTCTTCTATTATTAGGCTATACATTAAATAAAAAAAATCGCAAGAAATATTTTATAAAAGTAGAGATAATTTCAATAATTGTCAGGGGATGGACGGGACAAGATAAATCTTTTTTTTGTCCCGTCCACACCTTTCAATTATTAAAATTATATCTACTTTTTAAAAATATTTCTTGCGTTTTTTTTTATTTAATGTATAACCTAATAAAAGAAGAATATTTTTGACAATTTTGATGCCAAAATATTATATAATAAATAATCTACAATTTTTTTTATAAAAACAGTTTTGTAATTCGTGCGTTTCGCGCGCTTGAAATGGCCGAAAACAAAAGAATTCGATAAAAATAAAACCTATAAATTCTCAAACAAAAATAATTCAATCCCTACCACAGTGGGCGGGGTTTGGCACTTGTTTTATTTAAGTGTATCTATTCGTTTTAATACACACTGTATATGATACCTAAAAGATCTTCCTCAATTTTTTTCATTAAAATAAAAAATCATGCAGCGCACTTTTAAATTATTTTTTGTTGTTTTCATTTGGATTGACTCAGCTCTAATAAAGTATTAGATGTTTGCAATAACTTGTTTGTTTGGACCAAACCTTATTTTAGACAGTTTGGGGCCTATTATTATTATTTTTTGACAGTTATGATAACATACCTTTTTCTTTTTTTTACTGTCGTCGTCCGCCCCGTGCTCCTGCGCATACAAATCCGCTATGCCGAGCAAACAATCGTCGCACCTGCACACATCACTGGTCGCAGAGTTCACAGATCCCATCGAACTGTTCGAATCGGCGCTGTCGGTTCGCAAGAAGGGCCTGCCGGGGTGGCCTAGGGCCACCTGTTCCATTTTGGCGACCAGCAGGGTCTCCATCAAGGATTTGGGTCGCGTGGGGTGCACCGGGATGGGCGGAGGGGTTGCCGAACGAAAGTGCGATGTCATTTTTAAAGTTTTTTGTCACTCGGTCACTATACGGTTAGGTTTGTTCACTTGGATTCAAGTGCAGTCATTTTAAGAAGGTTTTGTACAAGGATTCTAAAAACAAGTCGAATTCATGTTCTAATAGCAGGGCTCCCACAGCTAAATTTAGATATTTAAGAACACCTCTACACACTGTTCAAAAAAAGTACAAAAAAAAAGTCAACATCTCAATTACTTTCAGGTACGACAATTTTGCTTTTAATTTAGGTAATTCTTCTAAATTATTATGGCAAATTATTGAACTAATTTAGGTAAATTCCTTTAAATATTAGTGACGTACTTGCAATAATACCGACGTTTTACGATAAATATTCGCGCCTATATTGTCCACAAGAATGCCAAAATCAATGAAAGCTTAAAGACCGCGTTGTGTGCTATTGATATAACAACATAGGTAACAATTATTGTGCTATAAGTGAACATTTTGAATACAATAGTGCTATAGTGCTATAGTTAAGTAATCCAAAGTAAATGGAATTCCCAATGACCCCAATTTATTTTTAAATAATCCCAACCCTGGAGGGTTGGGATTATTTAAAGGGTTCCGGTACTACATGTACTACCGGAACCGCCGTTGTTAATTTGCCTAGGACATAAATATGAAGGAGTCCTAACTTGGAAGAAAATTGCTATGCTAGGATTTTCACTAAAAATATATATAATTTGCCTGAAAACTTGACTAAAATCTACCTTAAAATTTAAGCAAATTGTCTTAGAAACAGGAAATTTATTCTTTTATTCTCAGGCAATATCCCTTACGATCTAAGTAATGTTGCTTAATTAATTGTATAATTTTCTTTAAAAATAACAGTTAAAGAATTCACTAATTTAAAAGGGGAATATTCTGAATTCATTCAAGCAGTTTGCCTTAAAAAATCAATGATCCTATATAATATATAGGATCATTGATTTTTTAAGGCAAACTGCTTGAATGAATTCAGAATATTCCCCTTTTAAATTAGTGAATTCTTTAACTGATATTTTATATATATTATATATAAAATTATAGCTAATTTTTACCTAAAATATTAGACTATAGTCTAATATTTTAGGTAAAAATTAGCTATAATTTTGAACAGTGCACTAGGCTGGTTCAAAAAAATCAACTATTTTTTTTTTCCTGAAATTTCGCACTGAAATATGTTCACGGTACCAAAAAAAGACACCTGTAAAAACCGGAGCTCTTAATTTTAATATTTAGAGGACGCGCATCGAGAATTTCCATTTCCCATTTAAATAACATGGGAAATTTTGTTTTGTTTCTTTATAATTTTCTAGCTCACAAATTAATTAACAGATTTTTAAGCGCGATATATATTCTTGTGGGAAATTGAACGCTCTACAAAAAATGTCTCCTATCATTTTTCGATAAACCAACGAGTTCAAAAGTTATTCAAAATCGAAGTTAAATTTCATAATTGCATTTTTTACTTCAATTTTAGGCAAATTCCTAGTTAGTTATTATCAAATATAAAAAAAATCATTCAAAAAATCAAAATTACTATGTTCAAACACCTACTATTTTAAGAATTGAAGGGGTTAGAATAGAAAGGGTATAAGTGCAATTTCTTTAATTTAGGAGATAAGTTCGTTTTGTGAAAGATAAGGTTCCGACGTATCTAAATGAAAAGGATTTAAGTAATTTTCATACTTCTAGGGACCTCTATTATCCAGTAGAAAAACAATACTAAACAAAATTCTTTACTTTTTTATGGTAACATAACTTTAACTTCAAATATCTCCAAAAAATGAAAATGTTACTTATACCCTTTTGATTCTAACCCCTTCAATTGATTACATTTTTTTTTGATCGATTAAAATCCTTTTTAATGAATTCTTTCCAGAAATAGTAGGTGTTTTAGTGGAATTAATTTAAAAGGCTTGAACATGGTAATTTTGATTTTTTGAATGATTTTTTTTATATTTGATAATAACCAACTAATAAATTTGCCTAAAATTGAAGTAAAAAATGCAATTATGATATAAATTTAACTTCGACTTTGAATATCTTTTGACCCCGTTGGTTTATCGAAAAATGATAGGAGACATTTTTTGTAGAGCGTTAAATTTCCCACAAGAATATATATCGCCCATAAAAATCTGCTAATTAGTTTGTGAGCTAGAAAATTATAAAGAAACAGAACAAAATTTCCCATGTTATTTAAATGGGAAATAGAAATTTTCTGAGGTATATACACAAGTAGAAATTTCACCACACTTAATTTTATTTAAAAAAACGCGTCGATAGATTTGGCTAAAAATTAGGCAAAAGTCAAATGATGTTATCCATATATTTTAAGAAAAAATTTTTTAACTGTTTAGTTAATAACTAAAAATAATTGTAATGTGTATCTTGATACCCAAAAATCTCATAATAGAAAAAATATGAAGTTTGCAATATAGAGCAGAAATTAGATTGTTTACTATTTTAGCTATCATTTAAAAGAAAATTAAAAATACTTATCCGAAATCGGCAGTAAAGTATTCAACAATCGTCAGTAAAGTAAAAGAAATCGACAGTAAAGTAGAACTTTACTGCCGATTTAATACGAGTATTGTATGCAACCCATTATACATTTTAATATGTGTCTACTGTTCCTCAGCAGCAACTAAATAATATTTAAAAAAAAAGCACCGTCGCGGAGGTCGATTGCACCCTTTCATAAAATGTTGTTTAATAAAAATAGTAAGTTAATTTTATTAATTAGATTGAAAAATCGCCGCGAGACCGTATAATAGCTATTTTTGGGAGCGTATGACAAAAATACATATTTTTTAAATTCCTTTTTAAAAAAGATTTTTTTAGCACGACAACTACCTTAATTAAATACAGTCAGGTTGGCCTATATTTAATTAATTTTTAGAAGTTTTAGGAGATTGATGGCAATTTTAGGAGAATTTTAGGAGTTTTCATGATTTAAGCCAAATTTTAGGAATTTTGTGAGTTTTAGTAGTAGTCTTAGTTTTTACTTTAAAAACGTTGTTATTTAAAATAATTGTTTTTAAAATGTAACTAGACATTTTTATATTATAAAATCATAAAATATGTATAGATTAATAAAAATAATTATAGGCATTTACATACCAACTACTCGTAAAATGTAATTTATAATTTAAGATTTACAATAATACAGGGGCTACTCGGATAAAAATCTACAAGGATTCTAAAAACAAGTTAAATTCATGTTCAAATAGTCTTTATCTATTTTGCGTTCAAAATGACTTCATTATAACACCGCTTTCGGTGCTGTAATGAGATACTTTACCCCACCCAAAACTTTGATTTTATAGGTTGGCTATACTTTAAACATTATAGTATTTTCCATATTGGTTTTAATATTTTTATGATATTTCTAGTACGTACGAGACTTTTCTGGCAATAAATTTTGTTTAACACAAAAAAAATCCTTTTTTTCTTCTTTAACATTAACAGCCGCATATTGTAAATAAGTAAATTAAGGAGGGCATGGCGAATCGATTTTGATATTAACTGTCAAACCAATGACTGTGGTACCAACTATCTAAAGTAAAATTCGACCAAATTAAATTTAAGCTATAGAATCATATTTTTACAGAATTTTCGCAAAATAGATAAAATAGCATAAAGAACTAATGTCATAAGACGTCATTTTGTCGCACTCGGACAATTTATTGTAAGGGACGTCTTATGACATTAGTTTTAATTATAACATATGACAATAGTTTTAATTTTTACTTGAGTTGTTATTTAAAATAATTGTTTTTAAAAAGTAACATTTTTATACATGGATTTGACACTACCATATGATATCTTGTCTACAGTGCTATTTATTCTTCAAAATTGATGGACATGAATCAAAGTTCAAAACAAAAAATAAAAATAATTATATTGCAAATCAAAAACCTCTGCAAATTCGAATTAAAACAATTTAAGTTGTGTCTTAAGCTTTAATGATGAATGTTAATTATTCACTAAAAACAAACTGACAACAGTCCATGTATAAAATATACATTGTATATAATTCATTCGATTTGTCATTTGTTAATTTTGTAACAACCTCCAATTTAAATAAAACAAAAAAGCATTTGCAAATATAATGTTTCTTGGAATGATCGTTATTTTTTTGTTTTAAAGCACAATAAAGTTTTTTAAGTGCTAAATTAAGTTTAACATTTATGGGGACTTTGATTTCTGACCTTCTAAGGTAATGATTTAATATATACTTTAATATTCTTATAAAAAATGCATACTTTAGATAATAATTATGTCTTAATATTTAATATTGTATGACGATATAATAATAGTGTTTAAATATTTAAAAAATTGCTCGATGACCGTCTACACTTTAAGATTGTGAAACATTATAATTTTAACTTATTAAATATTAATACCCTTTTATATTTTTACCGATATAATGGAAAAATATGCCTATACAGCAGCAACTATTGTGCTGACAAGTTCACAATGTTTATAAAAAAGCTTATCAACAAGCTACAAAGAAAAGGTGAGTTTCATTTCATTTATTTTAAATTTAGATACTTTAATTTAAAATAAATAATGTAGTGTTTTAGAAAATTTTGTTTCCCACTTTGATTCGTTAAGACCATTAATGATAGCCAGTGGAATATGGCCAGAACCTTTGAAAAAAACAACGAAAACAAAAATTCTTGAGTACATAATGCAAATATTTACCATTTTATTCGTGTTAACTTTGATTGGAAGGGTTTTTGAAACCATAGCTAAAAAAGAGTGGAAAAATTTGCCCAACACTTTGAATCTGGCAGTACTATACAGTAACTCACTTTTGAAAATGAGTTTTTACAAAGGGGAGTCTGGATCGAAACTACTGCTGAGCTTGATTAAAAACGAGAGAGTCATCCACAGCATAAAAAATACAACCATAACAAAAATGATGGTGAAGTCGGCTAGACGTTCAAACTCATACCCATACATTTGCATGTGTTGGATATGTATGGTCAGTTTTTGTGCTGGCACCATCATGAACATATTTCTATTTAAAAACAAACCTGAAGGTACTGTGTATCCCATGCCTTTCGATAGCTACGTACCATGG